CTCTTTCTATCAAGGGCAGTGAATTAGGAATGAGTAGTACAGTTGATTCTAGGGCGGTGTACTGGGTGGCCGGCGCGGGCGGGTGGCCAGTGCGGCCGTGAGTTACGTTAGTGCAGCGACAAGGTATTCTCCAGTCTAGCCAAATCAGATTACTGCTTGGTGAGGCGGGGCAACAGACGAAGATTATTGGTGAAATCCACGTCATCAATGCATCGACGCGCGAGGCAACGCGTGAGACGCTCAACGCGACGCCAGGTGACATGCGTGGTTCGGTGTGCTAGGTTTGAGCCAACGACGCGTCACAAGTGGTTAAAAGCGAAGCTGTGTCCAGACAAACATGGGACTGCTTTGAAGAGCGGGTGAGTTTGTTACTTTCGGAGAGGAGGATCATTTAGGAAATCAAGTATGTGGGAGATGGCCGGAAGAGTTTTTGGGCGGTTGGTTGAGGGGGATGTGGTGGAGTTCAGGATGGGGGATAGTGGGATGGAATTCAAGTTGCGGAGTGGCCAGGACATGGTTTCGATTGCTGTTTCACGTGACGTTGGTCATGAGAATAGCAAACCACACTCTTCTCATGATTCTGATTTCCCCCTGCAGGGTGATCCAATGGACGTTGATGAGCAGGGTGCGCAGGAAGATACCTGGCAGCCGGATGATCTAATGGAGTTGGACTAGCCGGGTACGGTAGGCAGGAAGAGTGGTGGGCTTAGAGGAGCGAATGGGCCTGGGGCTAGGAAGGGTTGAGGGGTGGATTGGCATCGATTGAGGATATGATCAAGGCTGCTGCCGTTCTGTGAAGGTCGGGAGGCGGGTTGCGTTGCAAGTTCCTGGAACTTGCGTAAGTGACGGATAATTAGGAGTGTTATTTAGGGTTTAGATCGTGTCTTACGATTGATCACATTGGAACTCTAATTTTCGTCAACGTCTCGTTAAATTGAAATTTCCCATTTCCCAGCCTGAGCTGAAAGTAGATTTTCCCCTTCAACAATGATTCCCCAACCTCTGAACTCTTTGACGAATGAGTGGCGCTCAGGGGTAGGCCAATAGTAAACGCTGCCAATACACAGCCAAGGCCTAACCAATGCGCATCTTTACAAAGGGGTACAATAGCTGCGCGAGATGAATGTCGCCGCTTGGCAACCTCCGGTTCTGAAGCAATATGCACAAGGACATGTGCACCATCAGGTATGTAGAGCTGGTTTGCCCGGTAGGAGATGTCCACAGACGTCCTTTTAGCTTCTTATCCATAGACCACTGCCTTTCATCTCAGCTTCCATGTGGTGGCCATAGCCGCGGTAGCTGCGGCCACTACCATGACATGAACAATGGCTACATCTTCATTCACACGCAGCCATGAAAGAGATCATAAAACGTCACTGTGCATATATAGACAGAACATGCAGACACATATGTACAGTCCGGACAGCAACTACCACACATTACAAGCGATATAAGTGAATCAAAAATTAAAGGGCTGGTCTCTCAACCTACTACATCGATTGCTTGCACTCACCAATTACCATGGCAAACCTCAACGAACTTTCCACCGAAATTCTGCTGGAAATATTAAGCTACATAGATTACGACGTCGATCTGACAGCACTTTCACAGACTAATCGTCGACTTTACAATCTTACAAGCAAATTGATCGATCAGGCCATCCTCCATATCTTCAATAACAGTGACATCTATCCCAACAAAAGCGGTGCGTTGCACAACGCAACATTTGATGGAAATGTGGACTGTGTGCGCAGGCTGTTACGACTTGGAATTCCCCCAACTTGGAGACGTAGAAAGGGTCATTGTTGGGAACCCATCCAGACCGCGGCGACAAGGGGACATGCGAACCTAGTTCGTATGTTCATAGAGCACGGCGTCGATCCGAACGCCGTGAAAGACCCTGAACGCTTTAATTTGAACAGAAATCCTCTTCTGGCCGCAATAAGTGGCGGCCATGAAGAAGTTGTCCGAGTATTGATTGAACATGGTGTGGATTTGGAATACACCAAGGAGCAAGAGACGAATGTGCAGCCTTTATCCGAGGCCACAAGTCGCCTTCGCTACGAGATAGTGAAACTACTCCTAGATCATGGTTGCAATCCCCGATCACCCGACTTCCTATCATGGAGGCCAAGCTCCGCACTCGAGGTGGCTGGTGGTTTGAGCCTGCCAATTCTGCGTATGTTTGTGGGTCCCGACATACCAGAGGACTACTTCTCTGCTTCTGAAAACTATTCTCATGATATGGTAATCGAGGCCCTGAGAAAGAGTAATCTGCCCCTGGTCAGGTTTCTTGTGGAGCACGGTGCCGAATTCAATTATCGTCAGCCGAATCATTGCCAAGGCCTTCCTTCTCAGATGTACCTATGGGGTGACGTTTTGTACCACCTCGGCCGCTTGTCAGTCAAATGTTCTGAAGACGCAGGTTACTTGCTTCGAAACATAGATGTTGATAACATCATCACTGAAAGAAATATCACTGCGATTATGGGTCTGGCTATTGGTGCGGCACGTGGTGGCAATATAGGTCTGCTAAAGCGTTTAATAGGCCTTGACTGGATACAGAGTCACCCAATGATTGAGCCAGAAATCTGGAAAGATCTTATGACCACGTGTATGGCAGAGGCAGTTTTTGGAGGCCATCTCGAAATTGTCAGACTATCACTCAATCGCGGAGCAGATCCCGACGATCCAGCCTATTGGAACCGGACCGAAGGAGTACGCGATCGGCCTATCCACAATGCAATAAGAAAAGGATATACGAAGATTCTCGAGTTACTGCTCGATAGAGGAGCCAATGCGTTCCCAAAGGGTGGCAAGACTGCTTTTGAAAAAACAACCACTCGATATGCACCAAAATTAACGCGGCAGGCACGGTATGATATCGTCCAGCTTCTAGTGAACAGAGGCCTCGTTGAAGCGGACCAAGTTTGGGTGCAAAGAGGCTTCTCTGAACCGCAAGTACCGGAGCGAAGAACTATCAAAAGAGCCGTTCGCTGGGGGCCAAAGATATTCCGCCTAATTCAGCAGCATTTCGACGTCAAACTTGATGTGGGCAACGCCAACCATCAGTTGGCATTTGAGGAAGCTGTTGAACGAGGTGACATTGCAATTTTGAAGGAATTTCTTGAGGCAGGATTTAATCCCAACGTTCCCGACGGGCTTCTGATTACCGCAGCAGAAAGCGACCGGAGCCATGACGCTACAGAGCAAGTTGTTGACCTACTACTCTTGTACGGAGCGGATATCAATTTACGCGATACGGAAACAGATATGCCGTATATCTTCAGGGGCATACATGGCCTCAAGTATTGCTCAGAGGAGGTTATCAGGTTTCTTTTGCGAAAGGGCGCCGATCCGTTTAGTGTCGACCGGTCCGGAGAGCATCTATTCATTAAGGTAGCAGCGGAAGGTCAAACGGACACAGTGAAAGGCGTGCTGGGGCACTTTGATAATGAAGGGATTCCGTTTGCTCGGGTCAAATCTATGGTTGAGAAGGCTGCAAGAGCCGCAGGTAGTGCCGCGAAGGCTGCCATGACTTCAGCGTATGAAATGAAGCCCGATACTTACAATATTAGGAATGACGCGCTTTATTATGCCAGAGAAACTGCCACAGTGGAGGAGTACCTATGGCGCTGGTATTGGCACAGAATGTATCCTTGTCAGGAGAGCTAAACATGTTCTTCCATACTCTTCCATACTCGTCCAACTTCAATATTTCGCCCCAACTGTGCTGAGAAGTCCAGTCTTCTAGGCTATTGGAGTTACATTGCTCGCGTGGCTGACGCCGATACTACTTACCAACAGTCAGTTTCTGCTTTTACCACTGGAAGCGACCTCCACCACAATCGGTTCGCCATCTTCTGTTCCGCTTTCTGTTTCGGGACCACTATATAGTACCTCTTTTCCTTTCTGCTCTCTGTACCGTATATTAGAAAATATAATAAAACGGAGGAGACACTGGCTTTACCTCTTGTATATCAATGTAGCTGCAATAAATCCTGCCCACAATAGAAAGAAAAATGCGAATGCAGCGGGCCACCCCTTTCGCCACCGCGGAGCACCGTCCGGACCAGCAGTAGGAAAGAGAAGCAGTGGAACCCATATTTGAAATGAATAGCCAAAAGTCATCATTGATCCCTGCTAGTAGTTAGCATACCGTCCTGTCTCTTGAGTACATAGTCTGTTAACTGAGGGAAGGTACCATAATAAGCGCCCGCTCCTCAGAATCATCCCTCACAATCGTATTAACTGTCGAATATAGAATCGGACTTGTACACCCAGCCGCACCGAAGAGGTACCAAGCAACAAACCTACAACACAGCCACAGTCAGCAGGACTGGATGTCTATCACCGCAGGTACGTACTTACTTCAAGGCCTTTGGAATGTTCCAAATGATCATGCATAGCGACGAAAACAAACAGCATGCAGATGCAACTGTATAAATAAGCCACGACGGATAAATAGCAGCAAGCGTAGTTCCGAGCCACGAGGCAATGATATTAATTGCGTAAGTAACCGTCGGTAGCTTGTTGACCTGTGGCACTGAATAACCTTCTGCCTCTAGCCAAAGGTTCATATACGACATAGGATAAGAAGATATAATCATGCACCTAAGACACAACGAGTTAGTTTTCTATTCAGAATCACGATCAAGGTTGACTCACGCATAACAAAGGATGAAAACCCAGATGTGCCAACGCTTGAGCGTGCGTTTGAAGACATCCAGGCTCATCCTTCCCGGACGACGGATGTTCGCTCTTCGCGCCCGATCCTTGGCCAAGGCGATATCATCTTCTGAAAGGAAGAAGGGTCGCGGAGAATCTGGAATTCCCGGAAACACTAAAAAGCCGATAATGGCGACGGGAATAGTGAAGATCCCGTCGATAATAAAAAGCCACTTCCAACCGGGCATGCCGCCCACCCCGGATAGATTTGTGTACGCTGCCGATTGCAGGTATCCGCTTACCATGGTTCCGAGGGCGTTGCAGATAAACCATGTTCCAGCTCGCTTAAAGAGTTCGGGGCCAGAGTACCATGAACCTTGAGAAAGGTTAGCCAGCTGGAATCGAAACAATAGTGCTGAAAGACCAACCCAGGATAAAGTGTGTTCCAGCAAATACGGGCGCCTCGAACATGCCAACGAGAAAACGAAGTGCATATAGCTGGCTGACATTGGTGACTCGGCTCTGTGCAAAGGTACATATGCCCCAAAGAATTTCGAGGGAGGGGAGTAGCCATCGTGCCCTGGACCTTTAATTAGGGTTTTCTTCCAGAATCATGGATAATAACCTACAGCGTGGGTCGAGACATCAACAGGAGACCAGGAACTTGGAAGACAACATAGGCAGTGTAATAGCAGACGTTGAAATAATTGAGTTGGTTGCCGTTTAGACTAAAGTCTTCCTTGAGCCCACTAACGTATGCATTGCTGATGTTCGTTTGGTCTGGAGCGCATTAGCATCGGTAGAGGCTGTGGTCTCTCGACACATACCCAGGTATTTTACGAAAACTAGAACAGGTCAGTAAATATTCTCTATTTCCCCGAGGTTGCAACTTACAGCATAGACATGCGAAGACAAGAATGGATAAATCCAGCTTGAAGAGCAACCTAGATGGTGAGTATCCTATGGTCAAGCCAGAACGGACAACGTACTTGCGTTCATTTGTCGGATAATCGGATGGGTACCAATTGAACACCTCTTTGAAAAGTCCCCAAACGCCTATTTTTCCTGTCTTCAAGTCGCTGCCGGACATATTGCCGAGCCCCTGTCTCCTCGTGTCGGACAATTCTCCGTGAAAACCTCCTCTGGCAGGGGCATGTTTCATGGTGCGGCAAGATCTTTATCTGATCATTCAATACCCCTCTTCATGATAGATTATCAAGTGGAGTAGTGTTGACATATTTGCCATTATGCCATCTATTGTCGTGATGGGAAAGCAACACAATATGATAGGCTTACTCGGACCTGTTAGCTGCAGAATGCAACATCCGGGTGCGGGATGGCGTGCCCCAATCCTAGCAGAAATGCCCTTATCTATCTCTAACATGATTCAGACACGATACAACGTGCGTTCTAGATTGGGTGCAAAACGGTAGATAACAATTGCGTGCTTTGCCGAGTATCTTCGTCACATATGCCGTGCGGGGTTAAAGTATACGACACATTGAGCTTTGGCCATAACTACTCGGGCCCTCCCAGCTGGATGGGGTCCAAGCAAGAGTGTCATAATTGGTGCTACACTCTTTATTCTTCAACATGCCTGCGAGACTCATTGACAGATACGACCATGTCCCAGTGACTAAGGAAAATCGTAAGTAATTCCTCTGGCTTGCCGTGTGGTTCGAAAAGTTAACCAATAAGTCGACTGGGCCGAACTCATCACCCTCGACCTGAGCCAATATGATCAGCCAGGCGGCAAGGAATCACTCGTCGAGCAGCTGGACCACGCTGTTCGGCATGTTGGTAAGTAGTCTGAATTGTATCTTCAGCCTGAGCTAACTTCACTCCCAAGGTTTCTTCTACGTCAAGAACTTCAACATCAGCCAAGAGGAAATCGACCGCCAGTTCGCTCTGGGTCGCGAGTTCTACGCTCTTCCTCTTGAAGAGAAACTCAAGTACCACAGCAGCGCTGATCTAGATAGAGGAGAATACAACGGCTACAGACCAGCTGGACACAGAATGTAGGTCCTAGACCTATATAACCATGCTATTATGCTGATACATCTAGTCTTGGCAACGGCATCAAGGACAACGTCCAAGTCTATAACATCCCCAAGTTTGACGGCTATCATCAGCGTCAGCAACCATCAATTCTAGCCGACAACATTGACGAAATCGAGCAATTCAGCCGGGTAAACATTCTACATCATCTATTCGTAATCAACTCATACTAACCAATGATACAGAAATGCCACACCGAGGTAGTCGAAAAACTCCTCCGCCTCTTCGCCATTCTGCTTGAACTGCCGGACGAAGACCAACTCGTCCGTGATCACCAGTACGACGTAAAGGGTGAAGATCACCTCCGATACATGCACTACGCAGCGCGTGGAGCCGAACTCAACAAGAAAGTCGGGGGTCTATATTCTCCCGGTCATACCGATCTGGGCACGGTGACTCTGCTCTTCCGCCAACCCGTTGCCGCACTGCAAATCCTCAACTCGGAAGGACAGTGGAAATGGGTCCGCCCACAGGATGGAACCATCACTATCAATACCTGTGATGCATTGACTGCTCTCACGGGCGGATTGATCAAATCGAGCATTCATCGGGTTCATGTGCCTCCCGCTGATCAGGCGCATGTGGATCGGTTGGGGGTGCTTTACTTTGCCAGGTGAGTCTACATCTCTCCCTTTCAGTGTAAGATGGTCGGCTAATCTTATTTGCTAGGCCGAACAATCATGTTGTTCTGGACCCGATCAAGAACAGCCCTCTGCTTAACCGGCTCGGGCTTACGCAGAATGTCTTTACGGAGTTGGGGCAACATCTGACTACTGAGCAGTGGGTAAAGGCGCGGCAGACTCAGCAGCAGAGACGCACGCGGGAGGCAAAGGTTTCCGAGGATGGTAAATACACCTACGGAGAGAAGGATCTGCAGATCCTCCCTGGGTTAGATGCGAAGGTGTACAACTGAGAGATGAGCTAGTATCATACTTGTAATATCATGACCGGTGATATTGGCTCTTCACTTATACATCGTGCCACAGATCAAATAGTCCCAACTGTAGAGACTAGAGCACGCTCCGTTATTGTTCTCCACCTATTACCTCAGTGTTTCCGCGCATTATAGTAGCAGACATTGGTTCATCTGACATCCCACCATCACCGACCACCATTTCGAGTAATATTGGTGCATCGGATACCACATTCTCGTATGTGGCCAAAGGGGTTGTAGTGTGTCCCCTTTTCTATATAGGCACCAATGATTAATGCAACATTGTGCTGAACAGTCTTTGCTGGATTAAAATAATAAGAGTTGGGGATAAAACTTAGAGCCGCCCACCACTGGCTTCTCTTAATACCGTCTTCCATTCAATATCATGCACATCATCAGCATGGATGGATACTTTGACATCGAGGGCCTTTCGGAGCTGCTCCTTGGTAGAAGCATACAGCATACGGATCTAACCATCGTGTCAGTGGACTCGAGTAAAAGTTTCAATTATACGAGCAGGATACCCTACCCGAGTGGACGTCACATCGGGCATCCAGCTGATAAAGACAATTGTCGCTCTGACGAAGGTTAGCACGACATATCCATATTGCTCTGCCTACTTCCGGAGATCTTTCCAGTTACCTCCTACCGTCATCAAGCAAGTCATACTCCACGTCATATATCGCATATCGAGGTGCAGGTTTCCCGTCACTATCATGTGCGGATGTAAGCTTTTGGAGGAATGCTTCGTAGTTCTTCTCCGGGGAGCTTTCTTCCACGACGATAGAGCGTTCGTCGTCGGATATCTTGTAGATAACGAATGCAGGTTTATCTGCCCCCCTCCTGTATAGAAGCTCTTTATAAGCAGCGATGCACTCATTCGTGATATTAACACTAATGATAGTATCATCCACATTAGGATCGAGGTTTATTCGAGGCGACAGGGGAGTTGGTAGCATACCCGGACGGAAGCTAAAGTTTTGATAGAACGGTCAATGGCCGATTGTCCAGTGCTGGGGGTGAGTGGCGAAGACTGACCGACATTGTATTGTGTTATTTTGACAGGACTTCAGGATAGTATCTTTCATTGAATTGTAATGAATTGCCAGATCAACTTATTTGTACCCCCGCTATGATAATATTCACCATCACTGTCCTTTATATATTTTTGTCGGGCGGTCGGACTTGCGGACCCGAATGTCCGGGATGATCGGAGTTGGACAGATACATCGAAATAACAAAACATAACTTATATTGTATCAAAACTCTCCCTTAGGCAAAAGGGAAAAAAAAAAAAAAAAAAAAAAAAATAGGAATAAAAATTACCCAGATTGTGCCACGCAAACTGGTAAGGTCAAACTTTTGGGTATCTCTCGGATTCGGCTGTGCTAATGTTAGCAGCGCTTGAGACATGCCAAGAGTGGCGATATTCCGCTGCTTCGGAGCTACGGGCCCGCGGAGCCGCGGTCCCGGAAGGTCAGAACTTGCAACTCTCTTCGTCCAGCACGAAGCCATTGTCAACATACCATTCTCTGCAGAATTTAATATGTCATCGCCGAGCGCTCAGGAAACCATACAGGAGAGGCGACACCGGCTCTCGTTGGTCCCTCGGGCGGTAAGCTCCCCAGTCCCGCCTCTCTCTCTCTCTCTCTCTCTCTCTCGCATGGCTAATATGACGTAGTGCGAAGGATGTAAAGTACGCAAAGTACGTGCCATACGGAGTAGAATCATAGTAAGATGATGGAAGCTAAGATGAAGTTTTGAAGATTCGCTGCGACCGCAAGATACCTTGTTCAAACTGCCAAGCATCCAAGATTACATGTCGACACCCAAATGACAGGACAAGGAATCAACTCCAGGCAGATAGAATAGCGCATCTGTACGTGTCAGTTTGAATTTTTACTCTAGAAAATTTTTACTCACACTCTATAGTGAGGCTCTAGTAGATAGCCTCGATAAACGTTTCCGTGATGTCGAGTCTAAGCTCGTTGCATTGCAGAGTCCAAACCCTAACCTAGTGGCGCAAAGTGCAACCAACCAGACTATCATATCCGCTGGAACTGGCCATATAGAAGGCTGCCATATATATGAGGGAGACACTTCGTTCACAAGTCAGTCGCTTCAAGCAAGTAGAAGTGCTCAAGACACAGCTCTCTCTGGCAACATCCCAGATATCGAACACTCGCTTGATCATATACAAAAGACCCTGCACGATTCGCAAGAGTTGTCCAGGAAGAGCTTCTAGTTTAACAAATCATCTTCAAAGCCTTTGATACATACTGAAACCCTTCCTGCTACGTTGCTCACCAGCATTCTCCGGAGAATGAGAGGTAAGCCATGTCCATCCCACACGAAAGTCACCGTTTTGCTGTTACCAAGCTTCCTTGTCTTCATACTAACGAATAACCCAGCTCGTCATCCTATCTTTCTATCCTCATATGCAATAAGTGACCTCGAAATTGTCGAAGATCTCTGTAAAAGCGTCCTTTCCGAAACAAGCCGTGCATCTGTCGGCCAGGTGGCCAGCATGCATGGTGTCCTATTCTTTGTCCTGAAGGAGTTTATAGCAATGAATGATGGGCTCTGTCAGAAATTTGACCTTACCACACACCTTGATCATTGTGAGAAGGTTTTTGCCGCGGCAATGGAAACATATGACGTGCTTGCTCTCCCTAGCTTCGAAAACATTCTTGCTTTGACAATGGGTGTAAGTATCCCCTTTCTGTATAGAAACAAATTGAGTCGTTCAGCCTACTGTTCATTTGGATCGTGAAGTAACCATAACCCAGATGGTCAAAGCTCAGGGCGAAGCAAAGCCCTCATTATACTGGAGGCTAGTTTCTGCCGCCGCAGCTCATTGCCAATCACTTGGATATCACCGTGAGACGACCTATAGGAACATTCTCTCTGGAAAGGCAGACAACATAAGACGTCTCTTCTGGACTGTGTATATTTTCGACAAAAACATGTCTCTCTTGTTAGGTCGAGTATCGAACATGCAGGGTGTCATGATCGACGTACGGTATCCTGCGATATCATCAGACCTGGGTCGCCGAGCATGGGATGAATCTTTCATTATGGGAATCAGGTTGGCGGAATTTCAGGACCGGATATTCACTAGTCTCTATAATGCTGCAACGTCAATCGAGGATGCATCTGAGCGAGCACGGCTTATTAGTGACCTTGAATCTGCCATGGAACAATGGCATTTGGAACTGAAGCAGGTGAGACGAAACCATCAATACTATTTCATGTCCTGCACTGGCTACTAACAGTTCCCAGATCAATCCAGAAGGAGTCAACAACATCCTAGTATTCAAGTTGTCCAGAACAAATTGGGATATTTCCTTCTACTCCACACTGACGCTGCTTCTTCATGCATCTTCAAAAACAGGCGAGGAGTCACAGATCAGCTCTCGTTGCTTCAATGCAGCCCGTAATAGTTTACTGGCTCATCTCAATTCCTTCCCTCAATACCAAAGCTCAAAGCTTCTTTCAGACGGTGAATACTTCAATTGGTCCGTTCTTCCCTCCCTCGCATCGCTGCCCCACTCTTACATTGACCGAAAATTACCAGGATCCTATTATTCTCATCCTTAACACCATTCCTCGTGATATTCCTCCACGCCATTTCTGAAAAAGACACTGAGAGCGTCGGGCTCCTTTCTCAAGTAGTTGGCACCTTTGAGACGTTTCGAAAGGTCTCCCATGGCGCGGAGCGTCTGTATCAAGTATGCACTACTTTTACCAACATTGCTGAGAAAATCATTCAATCACAGCAATCGTCGGTAGGGATATACGACCAGCAAGGAAGCTCTCTTAGACTGCCCGATACACCGGGTAGCATGACTCGATTTCACCCTGAAGATTTGCAAGATATGCTTGATATAGAAAATGGCGACAGAGCCACCTCCTTGTATGCTAGTGACCTTCTGAACGAGTTTCTTAGCGGTGAGCCGTTTTCGTGGAATAGGTTCGATTATGATATTGGGAATGGTCAGTGATGGGAGATGAAAAGTCTTATCGTCTGGGAGGGTGGGTTAGGCCTGTACGACGATAATTAAGGCATGATTAAGTCTCAACCCGACTCGGATCTATGAAATATTCAGACAACCGAAATTTCTGATAGTTGTACACTACGATCATCTTGTTTATGTTACAACATCAAGCCTCACAGCTCTTACCACCACCAACTAGCGTCTGCCACATACTATCTCTTTCCAAGGACTCCATATCATCACATCGCAGCATGACCATCACCTCAAGCCTTTCATCACAGACATTTCTCCGACGGGGTAGAACAATAGCCACACCATCTACCTCCATGCAAGGCAATCTAACGAACTCCGGCTTTCCAAGCAATGGCCCAAAGTCCACACCATATAAATCCAAACCCGCCCAACTTGTAATAGTAAAATCACGAGAGCCGAACAAGTCCCAACCCGCAAAAAGCGACCTATAATCCTCCATGGAATCCACAAGCCGGTACGTCTCAGCAATAAAACGTGAGTCGATCGTCGCGGGTGACTGCGATTCGGAGATACGGTCGCATATCTTGGCAAGCGATCTTACTGGATCCTCATCGGCCGTAGCGAGATTAGCACAGGAGAAGTTTGCCAAGGCGTAGAGAACAACGTTTCCAAGGTATTGTTGGTTCCCGGGCATTGGTTGCAGATTGCCCGGTATGCGTGACCGACCGTTGACGGCTGTCACTAAGCGACTTGTTTGGCGTCTGAGATCAGGGTTGCGCTGTGCTCGTACACGAGTGATTGATGTCCAGAGAAGCGCGCAGAGGATAACATTGGTGGTCAATTGACGTTGTGCGGACTTCTGGAGGAGCTCTTTGAGCACGTTGATCCAATGGACTGGAATTTAAATGTCTTGGACGTGCATGATGCAAGTTCTTTTGGTAGGACTGGTGGTTGTGTCGAGTATTCCGGATGCAATGCGAGGAGACGCACAGATGAAAGCGAGGAGATCCCCCGCAGATCAGGCTCCAGAGCCTTGGAAAGCTGCACGAGCCTATCACCACTTCCTTGTAGACCGTAGGAGGGATGGGTCTGGTTTTGTTGGACAACATTCTCGGCCCATAGTCGCACTACTTCCGAGAAGCCAGTTACATCGACTGCATTGTGATGCAAGCAGATGCATAAGCCCACACCCTGATCTGCGAAGCGGAAGAAGCTGACAGCAAAAACGGGGTCCCCTGTCTCAGAAGGGGTGTTACCGAGCAAGCTTGGGAGTGTTGGCCAGACGTCGAGTGGGATGGCTTTCATGGGCATATCTTGCGAAGAAAGACTGGCATATGAGGCCGCTATCTGGCCTTTGTCCTGCAGTCTCGGCGTCTTGTCTGCATGGTATCGGATTTCGAGGGGAGCTTTCTGATCCGTTGAAGTGGTGAGAAAAACATTTCCGGCGATCCAAGGCACTTGTTTCGCAAGCTTTTCGAGGCCGCATTGAAGCTCCTGGCTGAGTTCTGTTGTTGGACTTGCCGTTGGGAAAACGAAGAGAACCCGGATGTAGGTTCTGGGCATAGGCAAGTCCAGCGGAGTCAAGTGCTCCACGCAGGTGTGGTCAGCCATGATTGCCTAGGTAGTTGAGAGATTATTGATTTCCTGGATAATAACTAGAAATAAAGAAGGGTTTTACCATGGTACAATAAATATTGAGACTAAATCACCTCTGAATGTCAGGGCCCGCGGGCCCGAGAGTCCGACTGCCCGGGGTCCGGCCCACAGTCGTTTCAGGACGGAGGCGTGGTCAGCCTAGCTTTATGGCACTTCTCAGTAAAACCTTGGTATCCATTGAGAGGGATACCGGTGCCCCAGCTAGATTAGTTGTGGCCTTGGTCCATGTGAAGCTGTTGATCAGCTGCTGGCAGGTGGGGAGCCGAGTAAAACACTCATTGCGCGAAGCTTGTGCAATCACCAAATATCATGTAGAGTTTATCTAATCAGGAGAGCGGAATTGTTTCTCTCGTCCGATTTCACGAGGTAGGATGTCGATTGACTCACCATTTGGTCCAGATATGAATATTTGTTAAGTTATTGGCCTTCAATTTCTACACCTGAGATGTTATTGTCGGCATCCCGTTTTTGGCACAGAAGCCTGAGGCGCGAAGGCTCGCAATAAGTGCTATCACACGTGCTTCAGGGTCATTTTCAGGGCCGATTAATAATCCCCCGAAGCCTTCACCGCGGACATATGACCTACATATTGAGTCGGCATCGCGCTGCTTCGTTATATCTCTCTGTAAGAGGCAGAGGGATGAAAATGGTTATGAAGCTTTGAACATTGAGCTTTGGATAAGTGCGCTGGAATTGCTCTATTGGCGAGCACCATATATATTCATTCTAGGCGGCGTTGCACCAAGCCCACCTTTTCCATCTACTACGATCAAGATAAATAGGAAAGAAATCAGGGGTACTCAGAGTATATCAATACTTGTTGAAATGGTAAATAGTGATGACAGCATAATAAAAGCAAAGTTCTTGAAAGGACCGGATACGTATTTCCAGAACACAGGTACATTCCAAGTTTCATTGATCATGAGTAACCGGTGGCTGATGTGGGTCTAGTGACACCACAACCAGCCGTCAAATGGGAGACTGAATAACTTGTCTACTAAGGGGCACTACTAGTTCGACGAAAGATCGGGTGGATTACAAATTATCTCTCCGAGTACGCATCCGAACCTGTTGACGTTCGGAGGTAGCCACTGATCTACCCCGCAGCTAAACATGGTGGCTCCCAGGCGACACGCAGTCACTCTAATTATCATCACCATCCTTGTTCTCTTCACCATCATCCTCTGGAAGCATCCCTCTGGTCTTTTACCAGTTCTCTCACATCAACCATCGCCCAACATGTCGATCACGCACATTGTCATGTTTCAATTCAAAGATGGGGTCAGCCCCGAAGTAATCAAAGATGTAAGTTACACCAGCCCACCTAGCGCTTATCCACATCTAACATAAGGACGTGTCAAAAAGGTGTGCTCTCGGATGCTAGCTCTAAAAGATAATTGTATACACCCCACCTCTCAGAAGCCATACATTCAGGCCGCATCGGGCGGACTGGATAATTCGCCCGAAGGCATCCAAGTAAGTGACGAACCACTGTCCTATCTTTCAATTGCATGTCTGACACAGAAGCAAACTGAAGCATGGAATCACCCATGCTTTTGTCGTACATTTCGCGAGCGCCGAAGACCGCGATTATTATGTGGCCAAGGATCCAGCCCATCAAGCATTCGTCAAGAGTCTGGACGGTATCATTGAGAAGGTGCAGGCGATTGACTTTACTGATCGCGTTTATTGATCTGTTGGATCGAATGAGATTATAGTGAACGTTAAATGTAAATGAATCATCAAGAACGGGAATGTTTTCGTATCCCTTCGTTCCTTGGAGACAATACGTACAGTGTCTTTATTAGGTGGAGTATAACTTTGCTGCTGCAAAGTGATAGCATTGCCAATATTTGACGCTTATGTCTCAAGATAGAATGTGGCTGAGAGACGATCACTCATTATGTAATATGGCATGTTGGTAGAGCGTCATCAGCGAAGGTTCAAAAAGAAGAGCCCCTCGTTTCAAGTATCTGCCGATATCCGATAATGGAGATATGGCGACTCCTGTGCAACTTATTCTGTCATCGCCGTGCGGGGCCTCGACGAATAACAGCCTACGATTTCCTAAACGGCTTCGGCATCGTAATGCTAGCTTGAGATGATGTGATTACAACACCAGTTATATACCTCAACCCAGATCTCCTTCGTTATCAGATCTTCCTTTCTTTTTCTGCAGTTATCATCTCTTAGTTATCTGAAGAAACAACCACAGTTACAATGGTTGAGGTTCAAACACTTGTCCAACCGGACATCCAATATCACCCCGACTACACCAAATACACAGCCCGCACCGAGCGTCGCATCGCAACTGAAACCTTGCCCAAGACCTTGCCCAAGAGATTTCCCGAGCATTTGGACTCTCCCTTAGTATGGGAAGGAACGGAGGTAGAGAAACGCGATGATTGGATCTACCAATTGAATGATGGGCAGCTTGACGAAATTGACCAAGCCCTGCAGTTCTTCAAATGTAATTCTTCCCCATCTCGGGGTAATGAATATTGCTAACACACTCACAGCCAAGAACCCCTCCCTAGGTTCAATCAACCAATCCACCTTCCCCCTACCAACCCTCCACCCCATCCTTCGCGACCTCTCCCGCGAAATCCACCTAGGCCGGGGCTTCGTTGTCGTCCGCGGCCTGCGCATCGACCACTACACCCGCGAAGACAACATTATTATCTACGCCGGCGTGTCCTCCCACATCGGGAACTACCGCGGAAGACAAGAAGATAATCGGATCAAGGGAACACCCTCTCGTGTACTATCCCACATCAAGGACATCTCCAATAAAGTCCAGCCGGGCACTATCGGCGCGCCATCCAACACCGCCGACAAACAAGTCTTTCACACTGACTCGGGGGATATCATTTCCCTGCTCTGTCTCCAGGAAGCTGCAGAGGGCGGAGAAAGCAAGCTTGCAAGTAGCTGGCACGTCTACAACATTCTAGCTAGGGAGAGGCCGGATCTTATTCATACCCTTACGCAGGACTGGCCATTTGATGGGTACATACTCTTCATGCTATTAATTTGATACGATTGTCACTAATATAGGAGGGCAGATTCTCCAATCCCACACAGCCATACAGCACCCGTCCCCTTCTTTACCATCAACCTGCCACATCTAACACCCCGGAGCGAGTGCTGATCCAATACGCCCGCCGCTACTTCACAGGCTTCATGGCGCAGCCTCGCTCGACTAATATTCCGCCCATCAGTGAAGCGCAGGCAGAGGCGCTCGATGCACTGCATTTCCTGGCTGAGAAGCACAGTGCCTCGCTTGGATTCCAGAAGGGAGATATTCAGTATGTGAACAATCTGAGTATCTTTCATGCGAGAAATGGGTTTACGGATGGGCCTGGGAAGGAGTAAGTAATTTTTTTATCGTATTGTATTCTATCAATATGTGCGACGGTGACTGACGGATATAGGCGCCATTTACTCCGACTTTGGTTGAGGGATCCTGAGTACGCATGGGAGACTCCGGAGCCGTTGCGGAAGAGATGGGATAGTTTGTATAAAGATCTAGAGCCGGAGGAACAGGACTTTCCTCTCGAGCCGAGGATTAGGGGAAATACGACATCCTAGAAATGTGTTCATACTGGATCAAAGATGGCGACGTATCTATCCCTCAATTTAACTCAACTGAAAGTGTTCTCATACTTGACTGATCCCCGCTACGTAAGATGCTAGCTACGTGGGCGCTTCACCGTGTGAAGCAAAGAATATGGCCAGGAACGCCTCAAATAGCACAGACTTCGCATTAACCACATATGAGTCACCAAGCAATGCAGGCTACGATATAGGAAGGTCGTCGTTGTAGCTAAATACGACTAAATATAGAAAGTGATGCAAAGCGCAGTCATACAAAAGGTAGAAGTAAAAATTGTAACAAGTGTCGTAGCTGGCTGGCCAGCTGTCCCTTCGCTCCTCGTCCACATTCTTGCTCCCAACATGTGTGTTCTTCTGATATGCTTTACCTTCCCCGTGTGACTCAATCCGGGGCGTATTTAGTTCCTTCTACCCAGCGTGTCCGGCGTCTATCTATCTATATTTCAAATAAAGTTCTTTTTCGGGAAAGCGATCGGTCTTGCTTGATTAGAAGATCGCCCGCCCACCGACTCATGGACCAGACAATATCGCAACGCACGAGGAGTCACAAGATGTTTTCTTCTAGAGAAGCATTGAATGATCGAGTTTGAAGCTTGCACCAGACCTTACTTGTTTGTCTTCTTTTTACCAGACAACCATGGCCTGATCTCCTTTAGCTTGCGGGCACGTTTCCTGTAACCGGATGATACAAACTCCTGTGACACTTTCACCCACCACTGTCTTTGCCATTTCACTGCCATTGAATGCCTTATTTGTGACCGCGAGCAACCATTATTTGCCCCAGACATTACTCCTTGCGCAATTACCCTCTTCACAATCGACGTCGACTGTTCCCGCCTTAAACCACTCTCACAGTGAACAGTCGGTTTGGTGGACACATTAACTGAATCAAAAAAAATACATTCAGTTTCATTTCCGACTGGTTGTTCTTCACTTTCTCTGCATAAAGCAGTAAGGTACGTAAAGTCCAGAGTAGATGTATCTGGTATTGACCAGAAAAAATATGTTCTTGGATCATTTAGAAACCCGTGACCACATCTTATAGATTTCCGTGACATTTGATTCTATTATTATTAGTTATATATAAAAATAGCTGATTAAAACTAGTAATACTTACTGGATTGTTTTGGTTCCGATTAGATGTTCCAGTAATAAGCTTTCCTCTTGGACAGATTCGGGAACATTTTCGTCTTGCTGCCCGGCTTACATCCTGGAAATAATTCCAAGTTAATTGTTATAACTGGTTGTTACCCGTACTCTGTCGTTGATTCTTCAGGATAATATCTCGTTGTGCTGCAAAACTTGTCCAGGTATTACCAGTATCTTCTGTATGGAAGTGGTAAGCTCTAAAGCATTCTGCAGTTTTACTGCAGATCTTTATTCCTGAGTACTTCCATTTTCGTAACAGACATAGTTCTCTATCAAAAAAAGAACACTGAACAGTACAGTGGAAACTTTTCAGGAAGTTCCCTTCTCTATACTGGACCTGATTAAGTCAGTATAGAATCTCCTAAAAAAAAAGTAGAAATAATACCTCTTTATGTAAATTGTTGATTTCTTCTGTTGACAATCGATTCACATTCACACAGTATCCGTAACCCTTTTCAGATGTTTTCGGAAATTCTGGTGTTTGGTGGACAGATTAAGAACCATACAAACCTTTTTTTGACTTGAACCGAATGGATCGACAATCCGGTGCCAATCCATGTATAACTTCATCATCTAGATTAGCCGTAGTTCTGGCTCACTGTGCATAAGGTAAGATGAATGGTGATTGGAAGTCGTTGTATGGATTTGCCTAAAGCTCTTCCTTCACAATGCGACAATCGCACCATTTCCACCTTTCATTATAAGGACTCGCAGCATTTCCTGTGATTGTACCGCTATTTAAAAGCTTCATAGGTGCCAATCTAAAGGGTGCAAGCGCTTGTGTCTCACGTTCTCTGCCATCTCTTGGGATAGCGCACTGGAGATTGCCGAGCCAGTAGATGTCTGTACCCCGTTTATATAGTGGAGGAGTACTCTTTTGGGAACGATTGAGCGCGTGCTGAAGGGTTAGCCATGGCTAATGTATAAAGAAGACTCTGGGAAGAACAACCAAGAGCCGCGTGGGTTGGTTCTTTCGCCGGAACCGTCATTTCCGGCACAGGAGTCTTTCACCATCTTTTTATATGGTAGCACGGTACAGGAGTCCTGCTTTCCTCCCTTATCTCGTTCCTCGGCATAATAAGAGTATCCTTCCCGTGCGGTATAGTGAGGCGCTTGCCTAGTTTTAACGCTGTCAAGCTTGTACCTTTCATCGACTTCGTTTGACTCTCCTATGTAGCACTTCTTTCAACGCTGTGGTAAGCTTGAATTGTAATCAGGGTCGTTTGCAAAACTTTGTCTTAGTCTCTCATCACATAATATGAGTAATGCTTGAGCACCCGTGCTTGGGAATCAAAACTGGTTTGTTTTCTGTCCCGTGTGGTTGAGAAACGCTATTCACAATTAACGTCGGACATAAGTAGCGTGCAGTATAGAAGATCCACGGTCAGCTCAGGCGACATTGTCATTTCGTCTCTAGATTATATTGCCAACATTGATGAAAGCGACAGTCTGGATATTTATATATCTCGATAGTATGTCCTAACGAATGTGCCGGAAGAACAGATGTTCAATTCCCGGCGTTCCTCGAAAATGGGACTCATACGCGTAAAGGCAAAATAGCCTAATTGAGGCCAGATTCGTCGCTTGGAGGTTTCGGTTGATGTGCTTCAGAGGAATAGCCTATCTAACGGATTCGAGTATTGTTGACACTCCTCGCTGAGGCCGTTAAGCCCCTTTCCTGTTTCCTTTCTTGCCACTCGGAACAGCATTCATATTGTATATAGAGACCCCAATGTTGGGGAACAGTGAGAGATTGCCCTTTCTCTCGTAGAAGAGCTGTACTGAAATGAGCGCTTTGTAACTCAAACTGTTTTATATGGAAGGAAACGCTTGAAGGTTGTACATTCCAAACCCATTGACTGAGGTCTGTCCAATTCGTTGCTTGGAATGTTCATTACTTTGGGGTCCTGCTTTGTCATTTGTTATTTATCTCGAGAAAGGTCATTTCTGGGTTTTCTTCCAATTTGTACCTCTCCACGTTCTTTGCTGCCTTCTTCTCAGTTCTTCCCTGGCTCATGGGATGCATGCTCTCGTATTTTTGAAATTTCGGACCCGGAACCCTTTGGCGGTGTTCTCTTCCGCACGTCTTTTTGGGAGGCAGCTTCAGGGCTCTGCCATGATTTTGGAACTTCGGCTATCAGTATAGTAAGGATTGCCAGACGATATATCCAGTGTCCCTCTTCACCCTAAGGTGCTTAGGAACGGCCCGACCCAAACAATCGGTTCGGGTCACGTTGGAATTATACACATTTGCTTCCAGCACATCAATGGAAGCAATTCGAATTATAAACCGATTAACGCACAAGCAGTCCACCATATTTCAAGAAGACAGGACAGTCAGCAACGCTTCTTCACCGAGTTCTTCTGAACCCGAGTTCTAAACCCGCTGGCACAATGCAGACCCCATTCAGCAATAAAAGGGTTATGCGTAAGCAGAAGGCAAAGCGGCCATCTTATTGGCTTTCAGCTCTTGTTTGAGCACTGATGCAATTACCACCCCGGAGAGACTTTTCGGCTTCTCACTTGTTCCACTTGGCGAGAAGGACAACGTGCTCAGATCTTGCTGTGATCGATTTCTTGGACGAGACAATGCGAAGGTTGTCTAGTAAAGCAAGAGAAAATGCTTCAGCATTGTCTGTCGCTGGTCACGTTGCTCGTATATCAACATTGTTCAGATTTCGAAGATTTCGTCATTCTCTTTCTATTTTAATCTTATACCATGCCATTCCAAGTGCGTCCACAAACACGCATGAATAGGCGTCTCATCGAACTCTAGATGAAGTTTAATGGACGCCATGTAAATAACGCTGTCCGTAACCCAACTCTCCGGAACCTAGAGTCTCTAGATTCAGTGTCTCCAGTGTGGGAATTGGTTCCTTCTCCGTTAATCATTCAACACTTCACTACCTGCCAAGTCGACTTGTCGAAAACTCTTGCACTTCCTGCTGTGGTATCCCAATCTATTGTGCTGTGAGGATTTCCTTGTTCTCCAATGTGAGCAAGCTATGAGATAGTAATTCGCTTGGGCGACCCAAAAGCTGGATAACGTGTATCATGTCGCTTTCGACCTCGGTGTTTTCTAGAGCAAACATCTGTCAGGTTTCTATCCAACGCCAGTGAGCCAGCGACGGGCGTGGTCGTCCACAGTTTGGAAGAATTCACCACCCACAGCACGATCAGGCCATAAGGTTGTAGCCGTGTGAATGTAAAGGATGTTCATTCCGACCAGAGCATGGTTCAACGCTAATGCTTCGCTTGCCATGTATGGCACATTTTGTAGTGGGCGGTAGCTCTGTCGGTACATCGACAGGGCGGTCTATACAATATCGTTGAAGCGTATGGCATTAAGGGAGTGACATGTCTAGCAAGGAAGTATATCATTGCGTGTGTGTTCACAAGGAGAGTGTTCGTGGTAGGCGCTCTGATCGAGGTCCAGGTATGTTTTGAGTAGTCTGAAATGTTTCGCGATGACATTATTAAGTTTAGTCGGAGTCGGGACTGTGACTGGAAGAACAACTGCAAGCAGGGGTGGCAGCCGATCAGCCCTCTCTCGGGGATATCATTCGGGGACCCGATTGCCTTTGTGCTTTGTATCAAGCTCGGAGTCATGGATGTCACTCTTACCGGTTTTTCTAGTTATATTTCTTCATTTCTCTCATGAGATACTTTCTTTTCTTGTTTTGTTTCATGTTTTTTTTCCCTTATTTTGGTCTTCTGTAGTTAGCTCGCTCGCTCGCTCATTCGTTCATTTTGATCCGGTTCAACCTTGAAAGCTTTCGTGATTTTCTTTCTCTCTAGTGATGTTCCGTCGCCAGATCTCATGTTCCTGTGAGCCTGTTATATCATTATATCCTCATCTCATGAACAAGAGATGTTGTCCTCTTTATATCCTGGTTTTGACCCAGTCACCCTCGCGTAGACAAGGCCCGCCAGTTATTCCAACATCAACAGCAGCGGATCATATTTCACGCCACGAGACATTAAGGAGGGACACATATCTGAGCAGCCAATTCCAGAGATTTGTGGGGATAGTTATATCAGATTAATACCTTTCATGTTCCATTGTTCCGTCGTCGCATTTCAAATGCCAGCGTATATCGAAGACGCGTCCAAGGTATCTTGCGTCTTGCTTCCATGACTTCCCCCAATTCTTTCCGGCCTCAGAGCCAGTACTAGAAGTATCTGGTATGCCTTTTAATCCTAGCTCTGCACACGATCTGCTGCTGGACCCACTTCATGCACCTTTTGGCCTTCCATTTCGGTCAAGAAAAGCGAGCAGATATGGACCATTAAATGGCATTCGGCTTCGTGGTGTAAAGGCACGGTGTTACTTGACATTGTCATTGTCGCCATCTTCGTAGATGATACCCATTGTATTCACTCCCAAGCTACTCCACCGCAGCAACCCCGGGCACCTTGTAGCGTACCACCTTAGCCTTTTGGCTGGCTTGCCACTGGCGCAAGGACGAACGAGTTATATAAAAGTGGCTTGATCGTAGGTAGGGGGTTATTGAGTTGGTCTGTGACTCTGTTTCCGGGTGATAGAAGGCGCACAAGAACCGGGTACCTAGGGGCGATTTGCGGTAATGCTGTGGCCGGTATTCTTTCGGCCTTTGTATCCGACCTGAATGTCCCACAAGTTCTTTATATGGCGAAATATCGGGAGTCCCATGTGGTTGGGAAACATCCACCGATCACTGTCGCCAGCCAGCCTCTTAACCATAATGAGATCTGCTTGCACTTGAGCGTGTGGACGTCTGAAAGAGAGCCTTCACCGTATGCCTTTTGGTATGAACCATCCAGCAGATCGATGATTGTTGGCAATTGTACACATTGCTCAGTCGTTGTAAGAACAGCCGTTTGCCACTCGAGCAGTTACCGGCTGATTGACCACCTCAAAACAGGTGATGCAGGATAGGACATACACAGGCCCTATGTTGTTGGGAAGGATTAGAATAAAGCCTTCCTCGCAATCTACTGAATGGGTTGTGTCTGCGCGTGTCATCGTATATAAGTAAGACTTTATCCTGCAGTGTCGGCGAGTCAATGACCTTACTGATTGATTTCCCTTGAACCTGAAGAGCAAGTCGAAGTTGAGGACCCTAGTTGGGCCTCAGACGCACGAACAAATGAAAGATATTGGTTGTTCGAGCCTTGCAGTAGAGCCCTCTATGGAATATCGTGGATGGCCAACAGCCGTGCCCTTTCAAGCCCAACCAAGGGAGGCCACCATAGTTGACTCCCACCCGACCTGAAGACTAAATGCTGCTCATAAGCCTCATAGTGTGCTGGCAAATGTACCTCCTCTCTCGTTTGCTGCGGCCTTCTTCCACAAGACGCCATTGTTGTTGGTCGGATACATCTGACTGTGTCTGGTACATTCGATGGCTTATGGACGAACAGCACGTAACTTGGAGCACCGAGACCAGGTTATGGACGTCGAGAATGTTTGGGGAGAACTGTTCCGCATCCTTATCTTCGTTTTGGATGTTCGGACCGAGCCACGACGGAGGGTCGCACAATTCCCTTGTACCTTGAAAGAGAGGTTTTTGCGGGAACATATCGCTTAGGTCAAGATCAACATTCCGACCTCTTACTCCCCGCCGTGAGAGGAGTAGTGATTCAAGCTTGCAGGGGAGTAGAAGCTAAGTTATATGCACTAGTGTATCAAACGAATCTGTGTGTCAGCTTTGACCAGATATTGCGAGTGTACTTCACTAACCTGTTGGACATTGACCGTCTTGCGTTCTATCTGGAAGCGGGTCTCTACCTGGTTATATAATCGGGCTACTGCCTCCTGTTCGTTGAAGTCAGGCACTTCGTTGAGTTCCAGGTGCACCGGTAAAGCCATGATGACCACATGGCCTCTCCGAACAGTGGTCTTCAGCCCCATCTTTTTTCCATATGAGGTTCCACTTTATGGTAATCCCATCGAAATTTCTCTCTGTGGGACTCGGTGAGAAGACTGCGTCCCAAAGACACCTAAAATCCAAAGCTGTTGTGGTAGATAAGAAGCGCGGAACAAGGATAAATCAACTTATGTCTCCAGGTAGGAGTGATATCAAGACCAGAAACACAGTAACAGTTCGAACGCACCACTTTCACCCGATGGAACGGCGATTGAGCCTTTTCAGCTGTGGTGAGACGCATGGGCGCCAGGCACTATGCAACAGCGCAAAGCTTTCTTGAAGACCATATTGGGCCACCTGACTTCATTTTGCAGGAGTAGAGGACTAGTACCAAGCCAGGTCAAACTGGGGTGTGCTTCATCAACCCCGCATGCCCGTTCTTCCGTTCTATTTCCGCCCGAGCGCATGAATTTCGCGCTCGAGTACATTAGCCTAGAGCTTGCAGATTCTTGTCCTTCGTAGAATGTTGGACGTCTTGTTCACACCATTCCAGAGTTGGAATGCTTTGCTTAGTACCCCGAAGGCATCTCGTCTGGAGTCAAGGGCACCAAATTCCTCTTTTGGGGGCAACGCCGTGTACAGAGAACATGATTCTCCCAGACTGACAATAACTCTGTGCCTGCCTTTTATTTCATTCCGATGGCATATGAGGGGCCTTGCTGACAATTCTGGCTCATGGTAATGGAGTATCAGCAGGGCACATCGCACCACCCCCTTCCTATTGCCATAGGAGTCTTGCTTGAAGTAATTTTGGGAGCTCCGTCGACGTCCTTGAAGGAAGCAGATATACCCTTGCACTTCACATCGAGTTCCCGCTTATAATGGTGATTCAAAAAGTTTATCGAATAAGTGATCGGCTGGGTCTGTTGTATGGTATGCATGGCGACCAGGGGTTTCATCTGAGCAGAGGCCGCAGCACAATGACAATGTGCATTGCCCTGCAAATAAAAACTTCTGGTAAACAAGCTGTTTAACGTTTTATACCGCACCTTGTAATTTACTGAAGGTTTTCGCTGGTTATCTTCTTCTTCACCAAATTGTGGGTATGGAATGGCCCAGAGGCGCATTGCCTGATGATTTGGTCCTGATATAGCCATTAACATGAAAGCTCAATTGTTCCATTTTGCCAAAGGGATCGACGGGCGAATGCTAGGACGGTGGTGAAGCGTAGTCAGCTCGTCATGGACCTCTCCTGTAATACGCTTCACCACTTCATCCATTATAGTATCGGGATCCGTCATATCCGTCTCCCTCGACTTCTTATCTGTCTTCAGCTTAACCAGTCTTCCCTCCCGGACCACCCAGCCTTCCACTGTGAAGCCTTCCTTTGAGTCATTTAGCATTGGGGCTAGCCCGGTACAAAGCATAGTCATTATCCCGGGCAGAGCCCTCCGCAGCTCGCGATTTGCAAGGTAGATATTGAACGTGCCAGGGATGCGATACTCGTACACATATACCGCCCGCGCCTGGTCGCACCGAAGATTTCTGCCGATACACTGAATTGCAAGTGCCTGAGATGTTGATGGTGAAAAGAGCATGAGGCGCTCTTAGCAACCACAGTGGTGCTAAGAATGTGACCAACAATGAACTAGGACCGCACACGTTGTGTTGCCATCGAGATGGGGTGCTAGGAGAAAAGCCAGCCATTGCCTGTGAAAACGAAGCCATGTACCAGAGGATTCCGCTTCAGGTCTGCGGCCAAATAATTATTCGCTGCCGGAGATGATGATTTCATCCACTAGATCAAGTAGCACTGGATATCGCTGTTCTCAATCCATCTGGCCGTAGGCTGTGTATGTGTTTGCTTCCCAACCCGACCTGGGTATCCCCTACTATAACTTGCCATTAAGAACAGGCCTTGGAATAACTCAATTGTTGCTTTTCTTTCCTCCCTTTCCTTTTTCTCTGACTATATGTTGATTCTTATTTATATTTCGTCTCGTTTTCCTTTTCTGTACCTTTGCTCTTCTGGGAAACACCTAGTAACGGTATCAAGATGTCCAAGAGCGCTGGAAATGAGTATAGTGCCTCAACAACACATCGTAGCTTTCAATCCTTAACAGTCACTGCGGTCAGAGTCTCAATTTCACCATCTCCATTTTAAAGCCCCCCAGTAGACTGAACATTCGCCAACATGTTCCAACTGGGGAAGATGGCTCAACACTACCCCTTCCCCGGTCTATACTGGGAGCAGCCAATATCACAATAGGATCGCAAAAGCGCAGCACATATAGCGCTGTCTGCAAAGCCGTCCAATCGACCAGATGCCACCAACGCTCCCATCCAACTCTTCATGTTGGAGGGAACGAGAAGCCGGTCAATATTAATAGGACACTTCTATGCTAGTCTTTGGAAAAGCCCGGTTGAGTTGCGTTGGCTGAGTCCGCAGTGTCTGCAACAGGCAGCTGTCCGCAAAGGAGGGTCGTATGGGGATCGTAGCTTCCCTATATCTGTTGATGGTATTATGAAGCGCAATAGGCCGAACTATGTGCCTTTGCGCCATTCTCTGAGAGGGTGCTAGCGAGCCGGGCCATCACGATGTTGTATGCACGAGCATCTGAGGAGTGATCCCAGATAACCTGTTGGACGTCATCCTTAGCAGTAATCCTTTGATGCAGCAATGCAGGTCTCTGCTCATCCAGGAATTCCCATGATTCATCACTTACCTCTGTGTGGGAATGGTAGGTTATAAACTAGTCTCCTGTCTTCTGGCAGGCTGTGATCCCAGGCCATTCCCAAAGTTCCTTCGAACAGAACATCATTCGTCGCAGAAACCCTTTGAGGCCTCTACCTAATACCTTGAATGCCATCATGGAGAACTTGGCAATATTGGGATGATTGTATACCCGTGTATATCCGATTCAATCTCTGCTTCTGCCTCTAACACAGTAGTTCTCTCTGTCTCTGTGTCGGTGGGTACCTCTGACTGATATGTTGCTTGCTGGGAAGTGCAGAGAAGGCTGGAAATTCACGAGCTCTTATAGACCAGAGATCTAGCAGGTCACATGACCTATTCACTTTGACATCGGCGGAAGTTTCCATGACAAATAGTCGGAAGTGAGCATTATTGTGGTGATATTCTGGGGTAGATCGGAAAGCTCCGTGAATGAAGCTGTTGAGCATACGGGATAATCCAAATAGAAGCTGTCAAGTCAGCGGCAAATTGGTCTAGCCCACACAGTTCACGAGTTTTGTGTAACTTTGACAAGGATGATTGAGGAGCATCCCGTGAATTAAGTGGAATCTTCCTCTGCGCATGGGAGAATACCGTTGATTAAATGGAACTCTCCTTTATCACGAGCGATATCTCTGATATCGTTACGTAGAGGACTCCACTCAGCCTACGTAGCCTGAACTAGTGATTGTTATTTTCCGCGACAGAGAAGGATACCTCCGAAGAAGAAGGGAGATTTCCGATCAATTCAAAACAATAGTTGAGTCTAGACTGGCCCATGTAGATGGGATGACGTACGAGCTGTGATGCATCCCAAAGCGGAAAGGCGTCGAATGAACACGGACGTTATGCGCATAGGGTATGATTATCAAGGAGTTCATTACAGCATCTAAGAGAGATCCAATTATTTACTTCGTAGACTTTGTAGCCAGTATCTTGTCTATCCCGCTTTGTAATGCATCCAATAACGCAAGTCAAGAAAACGCGCCTCAGCTCGGAAATCCACGGCCGCGGTGCATGATGAAAACACGACTCGGGCTATTCGGTGGCGTATTCCATGGAAATCTATATCCAGGTATACTTTCTCCGCATACCATACAGGGGATACCAAAGACCGATACTTATGTACGAATTCCGAGGATGAATGCTTTCTCACTAGTTAGTAATTCTTAGTCGGAAATGCGCGGAAAGACATACCTATTCCCATCCCTCGTAACCATCCTTGTCATAAGGGTGTCTTAAGCTGCGATGTTGAGATCAGACCATTTCATATCCTCAGTGATTTCCGTATGGCATGACACCGGCAACTGAAGACAATTGCATCGGAAGCCGGATTCCGAAGGCAGTCGGGGAGTATAAAACATGCCGGGCTGAGGGGATGCCGGCTCAGGGGTAGGATTGGTCGACACGGGAGGGGAAGGGATGGAGATAAAGTTAGGCTTTGGTCTCCCCGTGGGGAGGCTCCGGGCTTACTTGCTCTGTGGATTGGAATACACACGATGGCTAATCCTAGTTTGTTGGGGATGATCTTGGTTGTGCTACGCAATTCACCAATTATGGGACAGGTTTTTGGAATATGATGTCATGAATGTCGATCGATTTACAGAGTGCTACCTAAAGTACACATGGTCACACTCCACTTAGCCAGTAAGTGAAGTGATACGCGCCTAATGGCCCATTGGAATCGGCTTGTCCGCACTTCGCATCCGCTCCTCGATGATGTCTTTTCGCTCCTTGCGCAGCTGTCGGGCGTACCGGACCCCGAACCCGTGCTGGAACACTTCCTGGACTTCTTCCAGCACGAGGCCGGACACCTCGGGATAGAAGAAATAAATCCAGACGTAGGAAACGCCGCACAGCGCCGCGTAGAAGCCGAATGCTCCAGAGGGAGTCATTGATTTGGCCATGGTAAGGAAGGTGCTGGAGACAATAACGTTGCTGCCCCAGTTCGAGCAGGTCATCCACATGGTGCCCATGGCGCGCACCTCCAGCGGGAAGAAGTCGGTGCTCATCCAGGCGGTGTTGCCGACCGACACCCCATAGAACACCACGAACCAGATGATAAACACCAGAATGACGATAGCCGCCGGAGAGACTCCCGGGTTGAGGGGTTCTAGCGTTTCCATATCGACGGGAACCCAGTGGAAAGCGATCGCAACGGCGGCCATCCCCACCGCCATTCCCCAGGCGGTCGCCAGGAGCAAGCGTCGGCGACCCCAGCCATCCACCACCATCATGTTCACCCAAGTCATGATAAAGTTGGTGCCCGCGACCACTAACCCCACGGCTGTCGAGTTGTTGAACCCCACCAACGCAAACAGGGTCGAAGAGTAGTACATAAGGGCATTGAACCCACTCATTTGCGAGATGACCATTAACCCGCACGCACTAATCAACGCGCGCAAATTACTCCCCACGGTATGTAATTTCACGATCTTGGACCATCGGCTACCCGTGTCGTTGATCTCGCGCGCCTGATCGCAGGCCGCACGGATCGTGACCAACAGCGCGGCAATCTGCTCGTCCGTCGCAGCGCTGCTGTAGATGCGACACAGGACGCCGCGGGCTTCTTCGTCGCGCCCGTTGTAGATGAGATGGCGAGGCGATTCGGGACAAAACGGCATCATACAGCCGAGGATAATGGCGGGGAGAGCGCCCAGGCCGACCATGTAGCGCCAACCGTGGCTGACATTCGCAAAGGCCGCTCCGATTGCATAAGAGATGACCTGTCCTCCGGTGATGGACATGTTGTTTAGCCCAATTAGGCGACCGCGGGCGCCCGCGGGTGCGATCTCCGCAACGTACAGCGGCACCACCATCGCCGCCGAGCCTACGCCCAGCCCGACCACTACGCGACCCACCGCCATCTGCGCGATCGTATAGGCGGCAGCCTGGAGAACAGAGCCAACGACGAAGAGCACGCAGCCGAGGTAGATGGCCATCTTGCGACCAAACTGCGGATTGGGTTAGTTAGGTGCCTTTTGCTTTTGCGGCCGCGCAGGAAGCAACTTACTCGGTCTGCGGTGTTACCAGCGAAAATCGCCCCGATGAAGGCACCCCCGGAGCAGAGCGAGGTGATCATTTCTTTCTCAGAGCTGGTCACTGGACGATTGTTCAGGTCGTCCTTGAGCACCACCAACACCCCGGAAATAATACCCGTGTCGTAACCAAACAACATGCCGGCAATGGAGGCGGTTAGGGCCACCACCCACACGAACCAAGTAATGGGCAGGTCATTGACACTGGCTGCCAGAGCCTCGACATCAGTTGCATTATCGGCAACTTCAATATGTTTGGCATCGGACTTCAGATCCAGACTAGACTTGGGGTCATTGGCAACTTTCTCGCCGCCAAAGTCTTTCTCGGAAGACATGATTGAATGGTAGAGAAGTCAAGTTAGAGGAGCAATTGAGCCTGCTTTCCAAACCCCCGCTTTGAGGGCAGTAAACAAGTTGTTTATATAGTCATTCTCGTATGAGGTCAGACCTATAGCCTGGCTCGAATATCACTTCAATTGGTAGCCTAATGGTCGATCGTGGAGCCATGATCCAGTCAATAGCCGAAATGCGGGGGTGGGTGTCTGGGGAAGACCGTCGTCTGCCACCTCAGACGATGGATGGATGACGCTACATTCTTGGGCGTACTCCTGGCACTGCACTGCATGGTTGGCTGGTATCGGTTTGCTCAATGCGACTAGCTTGATTTTGGTTGGTCGGTGGAGTTGGTGCCAGAACCTTCTGTGCCAAATGCCTCATTTTACGGACCGCATCCTAATCACGGCAACCAACGGGAGAGCGTTTAGCAGCCCACTTCACGGACAACTCCCGCTCCCCAGATTGCTCAGGACGATGACTTCATGGACAATTGAGCCAGGAGCGTGGTGAGACACTTACATGCGGCATATTGGGCAAACAGGGGATACTCTCACAATTACCTGTTTCGTTCACCCCACGAAGCTAGTTATTCTCTCGTCCCGTTTGCTGACAGATGCTGTGAGATGAAAGTTAGTATAATCCTCGTTGTGAGGATATTTCTCTGGAAATGCCACTCAATGGCCTAGCCGGGTCTTGTGCTGTACTCTACATTCCTCGGGTCGGAATGCCATGTCGCCGTGCAGGTCGGAGACCTAGCCCATGGTCCATAGCCGGGTGGGCATTTGTTGAGGCGGATGCTGCCGTGCCCCATGCATGACGACCAATCGTGACGCAGATGGTAATCTCATCCCATGCCAAGCTGCACCTCCATCGATATCGGCCTTTGGCTGTCCCTGCCATACGGAGTCAGCAGCCGTCTTTCAGTTCACATCCTATGACTAGACACTTGTACTCACCATTACGCAATCGGTCTAGAATTGTTCAAACCAGGTATTGCGAATGTACGTCGCAACAACGATGGTCTGGCACTGCGAAAATGTTGTGCTTCGAGAGTTGCAATGCCCTGTGAGCTCCGGATAACTAGACCCGGAGACGCGGCAACCCGGCAGGGTAGCGTATGCCTCGGTGTTGAAGAAGGCTTCCGCGTCGGCGCGCTGATAATCTTCGCCACTGCGCTAACTTGAGACTTGACCCGATGATCCCAGTAAGATCTTTCAGGGAGGTCTACTCCTCCAAATTTCCAGTACAGCTTGACCACTCATACATGACCCAGTCACTCTGCACCTTCGATCGTAATAGACTGAGTGCTTTGGGAGCATAGTCCCCCAGGTCTGTCATTTTGCAACCAGTTTTTCGGTGATCCATAGTATCCCAATAGCCGATGCATGACGTGAACCGGTTCAAGGCCTCTCCAAGAGAGTCAATCGAGTTTTCCCATCGTCTGCCCAATTGTACGCCCTGTCTCGATGGATCCACTTTATCGTATTCTCGGGAAAGCACGGGGTACACTGTTTCTTCGCCTATAGTCGCTGACACACCGTTCACAAACATATCAGTCAGTGCAGGGGATGCTGCAAATCAAGGCGTGATGGTTTGGGCCTTCGAGGGCACCCGGGGGCTCAAATGTCGGGCATTCATCGTAAAACACGAGGCAGTGTCAACTTCCGAAAATATCTCGGCGTCGAAGTGTCAAAATCAAGAGGGTATTTGCTCCGGATGCATCTGTCCGTTTCTCAGATACATCGTTCTTGCCTTAGCGATGAGTTCTCGAGGCATAGCCTGCACTGAAGCACTGGTAGTTGAAGTGGTGAAAGCGGGGATGCGGCCGGCAGGCGCCAAGTCACCGAGGAGATGACACGATGATTGATTGGTGGATCTAATGATTCTTCAGGCTGACTAGTTCGTTCCTGATTCACTGACAGATTATACTCCATCAGAAAGGTAGTCGCTATATATCTCTAATTCTAGGGTACTCGTTCAGCACCTCTCAAGGCCACCCAGACCACCTTCGCTTATCCTCAGATACTAATTCAGTCAGAGTCTACTCCTCTCCCCAAGGATCGTCTTCCCTCCTTCCCATGCCCGTTCCACAGCATCCCAATACCGTCTCTCATCCCCCATCACTAACCCACAGTGCTTCCCATCCTCAAAACCGACACCTGTAACAGCATACCCCCTGCCACTAGCCTCGATCATATGCCCTTCTACATCTTTCCAGGGAATCATGTCATCAATCCTAGAATAGAGGTACAACCTACGTGCATCGCCAAAGATTTCTGGATCATTCAAATCCGCGCGGTAATCATCTATGGACCTCATAGCCCCAACACCCTGCAGCGCGTATGCCACTTTAGCAGTGGAATAAAGCACTGCGGCTCCAATCGCACGACCAGGCTGAGCAGTCGGCAGAGCCATTGCTCCGGCAGCGTAGAGTCTGTCAAACGATGAGTCGCCAGGACAACAGTCGAAGATGATTAGCTTCAGTGCTGATTTGAAGTCTGCTGGTATAGCAGAGGTTGATGATGGAGATTTCATTGCTCGCGCGAGCTGGGTGACAGTGTTACAGCCGCCGTTGGAGAACACATGGAGCAAGATCGTGGCATTGGGAGTGGATTGCAATATCTTGGTTATTGTATTCTTAGCTGGAGTGAGATTCGCATCGATGGAGTGAAGTGATCGAGCGGCATAATCGCGGAAAGAAGTGTTGATGAGCAGGATGGGTGTGCGGAGATAACGTTGGCGGTAGCCGCTGGTGTATTTGGCCACGCGGCGGGGTGTTGCGCCGCCGAACCAGGTGCACAGGATGATTAGGGTGGGATGCGTCTTTGCATCCTGGGGTATTGGTGTGTCATTCAGATCCGGCTCGTAGAAGTAGATGTTCTGCCCGATTGAACGGAAGTCTGGGATGAAAGGAGTTGACATTGTGAATGTGCTGCAACTGAGAGTGGGGATGTCAGGTTTTGCTGGGGATTTTATGGGTCATCAGCAGTTCCCGGGGGAATACGAAGTGGGTAAGCGCTAGTTTGCTATCCTATCGCCGGATTGATTCTAGCGCGCCATTCAGTTAATGTGGTGCATGATGTTATCCCTCAATATCACAATAACTATCGTTGCTCTACTCCATACATTGAAGATCAATCAATCCTGTTCCTGACGGTTGCCAACAAATTCCACGGATTCTTCCCGATGATCATCCCGATCCGATTGGGTTAAACTTCGCTCGGACCATTGGCTCGACTCAACTCAACACTACTCACTTCTTCTCAAACAGCTCTCCCCATCTACCCAACACCTTCTGCTTCAACTCCTCCGAATACAACCCCTCAAAACTTCCCGGCACCCACGGCCTCTTCCCCTCAAACTCCGATGGCAACAACAAGTTCACCACACTCTTTCCACCCTTCCCCGGATTCGGCACCTCCCTCCTACTCGCCCTGGTCATATACGGAATCATCGGCAACCCGTCCGCCTCCTCGAACACCAACTCATCCGCCCCAGGCCGATACCTCGTCGCCAACGCCCACACGAACTGCCCAATATCAGTAACATCAACATCATCCCCGACAACAAACACCTTCGGTGCCTCCCACCCCGCATGAGTCCCGAAAACCACCTCCCCGACCCTCCTCGACAACTCCTCCTTCTTGATCCCCATCCTGCCCAGCCTCTCCACATCCACACTAACCACCACCCAACAGCACTGCGCCTCATACGGCATCCAAGCCATCTTCACCGGTAACTCCGCCCCCCTCAGCGCATCCAAAATCTCCGCTGATATCGCTGCCCCCCACACCGTGTGCGTCTCGTCCGGCGCTAACCCCGCCACGCAGATCGGCACCACCGGATCCCGCCGATACGTCACACAGTCCACTTCGATTCTCGGCTCGGGCACCGCCTTGTCCTGGAACATGTACCCATGGTACTCGCCCATCGGGCCCTCGCCGACTTTCTCGGTCGTGCTGATGCGGCCTTCGAGGACGATTTCCGCATTGGCGGGGACATACAGGTCATTCGTCTCGCACTTCACCACATCCATTGCCTCGCCGCAGAGAGCACCGATGTAGCCATCCTCTGACACGAACGCGGGGAGAGGCATTCCCCCAACGAACGCGGCAGCTGGAGGTCCACCTAGTACCAGTGCCCAAGGCGTATCTTTAGCGCCCTGGTCAGCCCACATCTGATGCACCTGGGCGATATGCTGGCCCGGCATTATTGGTGCGACGATGGTACGAGGTGTATTTGCGACATGCATAGTACGGGAGATCGACCATGAGGTCCATGCTTTATCTGGTGATTGGAGGATATGGAACCCATACGTGGCGAGGTAGTTCCCCCCGTCTAATGGGTGAAGGCGCGGAATAGGCCATTTGGTCATGTCGATCTGCGACCCGTGAAGGATGTTCTCTTTGCATGGGGCAGATGAAGCCGGAACTGGAGTGGGAGGGAGTGGGGTGGAGTGTTTCGCCGCGATGAGCTTCTCGAGGATGTCGAGCGGGGTGGCATTTTGGGGCAGGCCGAGTTGAATGGCTAAACGGCCAAACCGAGTAGCGGGGTCAGCGCGGAGGCCGACGGGGGCACCGAGGATCTTGAAAAGGCCGGTTTCAGGGTCTGTGTCGGTGACATTATGGAATAACGGGGCGGGTGAGTGTGATTCGTACACACGACGAGTCAGAGCAGCGATTTCAAGGTCAGGCGAAGCGGGCTGGGTGATGTCGACGAGGTCGTCCTGGGCGCGGAGGGCGGAGAGCAATGAGCGGAAGTTGAGGGCGGGGGAGTCGTTGGATCTGTGGGGAGTGGTGGAGAATGACCGCGAAGGATGAGTGGGGATGCGTCTACCTGGTCTAAGCATGCGAAGCATTGTGATTGATATGTCTTGCAGTGGTTGGTGGTATGAAGTGGTGGGTTCTAGCGGGAATATATCTACGGGCATACAGCTACTACAGGAGTCGGTTATTCGGCATGTTCATCTGCTCAGACCCGGGGGGCACATTCTCAACGCGAGGGGACATCTCATGATGTTGGAGATGGGTTGGAGATTCTACACAGGGTTGCGTCAACATGACAGGGAAGAGAGACACTAGATAATGAAGGTCTGCAGAGAGCTCTGGAAGCGGGCTTAGTCTTCGAATGGAAACAAGGATGGGAGGATTAATAGCCAATGATGGCTGCGGATACTAAAAGCTTGATCAGAACGATATGATCTACTGACGTATAGTGCCGTGCCATATACCCCCAGTTTTATGTATCTCCATTTACCCCGAATTGGAGAAATATGCGGGCGGATGCACTGATATCAACTAACACAGCAGCACATATACATGGCCATTAATCCTAACATAATACCATTAACAGAAGCTTCCTAGTCATTACCATTCAACGGCCATTGAATTCAATGAAAACACAGACAACAATCCCGAAAATGCGTCCCCGCCTATCCCTCCCTCCCCTCCCCCTTCGACTTCACCATCACCACCACACCCTCCGCACCTACACAACACAACCCCCCAAACCCCCCTCCCATCCCAGCACACCACCGCAACCCAACCTCCGCCACAACCGCCTCATCCTCGCCCTCACCGGCGCAACCGGCTCCATCTACGGCATCCGCACCCTCACTACCCTGCACCAACTCAACATCCAAACCCACCTAATCCTCTCCAAATGGGCTCTCCCGACCCTCCGCTACGAAGCTCCCCAATACACCCTCCCGTACCTCAACTCTCTCGCAACCCGCACATACTCACCCCGCGATCTCGCCGCCCCCATAAGCAGCGGCAGCTACCCGGTGGACGGAATGATCATCGCACCCTGCAGCATGAAGACCCTGGCGGCAATCCGCATGGGATACGGCGAGGACTTGATCTCGCGGGCTGCGGACGTGTGCATTAAAGAGGGAAGGAAATTGGTGCTGATGGTTAGGGAGACGCCCTTGAGTGTCATTCATCTGGAGAATATGGCTGCGTTAGCGAGGTTAGGGGTTGTTATCTTTCCTCCAGTGCCGGGGTTTTATACGAGGCCGAAGGGTATTGATGAGGTCGTGGGGCATAGTGTGGCGAGGATGTTGGATGTGATGGGGGTGAATGTGGGTGATATTGGGGTGGATGGGAGGGAGGGGGATGGGGATAAAGAGGGGGGTAGTGGTGGAGGAGGGGTTATGCCGGCGGAGGGAAGGTGGGTTGGGTGGAGGAAGTGAGGACTGAAGGGGATGGGCGGGATATGTGGCTACGGGGTCTTTATCTAGCTCCAGGTGTGTGGCTAAGCAGAGGGTAAGGTAACTCTTCGGGTGCCAATGATATGTGTGATGAGGAGTACGTGAGTGATATAGAGTCCTATGTTTCTCATTTTTGTAATATAATATGGGGTATCAGCATCTGTTTAATCAGGGTTCTTATAAACAAATAGACAATATTTAAGCTGGTTAGCTGATGCACAACCTCGTTTCCTGCTCCTGTTCTGCTACCAAACCTGAATCTTCTTCGTGAGATGTCAATGTTGAGCCTAGCAATGACATTGTGGAAATACACCAGATGTTCATAGAAGACGGTCTTGGCTGCTCACCAATCTCTATGAGGCCAACATGCTTCCAGCTATCAAGTAAGCACGATTTTATATATACACCGACAAACAACCGCTTATCCTCCTTACTCTGTACATAATTCTTCAGATCGTCACACTTCCATGACAGGCAATTAAGGCAGTCCGGTAGTTCGTGCGCTGCTCGCACTCAGAGCCCCAAGATTGACTCCTAGGTGGAGATACGCCACAGCAGAACCTTCGCATCGCTCTTGCTTAGGATTTGCGTATCTTACACTGTTGTTCTGTTCCTTCTAACCCTGAACCTCTCACTAGAGCGTTGATGGCAACAGTAGGATCGCTCTGAGGATCATATTGTCCGGAAAGCTTTTTAATGTCTCCTAAGAGTGGTCCACCAACGCAGACACCAGTGTTTGGCTGGTGGCGATGACCAAGGAAAGTGCAGCACGTTGCATGAACAGCGAAAAGCAGCAGGATGAATTCATCTGCAACTTTACAGCGGGGCAATAGCATGATGTAAGTAATATCGCCGGGGCAGTTTCAAGCATATGGTGGACGGCCTCTATGTTGTATATATGTAGCTCGAACCATCGGTGACATCACGGACAGCGAAAGCCGAGATACTTACTCGACGATATCCGATGAGACAAATCGCCACTTCCGAGAACCAACGTACCTCGATTGGTGATGTATCTCACTGTCGAACTTGTATATAGAAGACACCACACAGTCAGTCATCGATGTCCTCCTGAGTTTCAGACAATGGTGCCTTTTCAATTCCTGTTCTATATCAATCTTTCGTTCAGGAACTAGGAAAAGCTTCAGTGTCGTCAAAGAGAGACGCAACATTGGTAGCTTCCATGATGGCTTGACTCCCATCATCTCATCATCCACATCCGCAGTAACAGCAACCCAACCGGGTGCAATCGCAGCAGTTCCAGCAATACTCAACGTAGCTGCGTTGATAAAGGTCTTTTTCATTAACCTGGAGTGGTCACGCAAACGCAGCGGCAAGCTGAAGCGGAAACCTCCCTCATCTGTCCATGGCGTTTCGTTTTGTATAGGACATTACGCTGGGTTGCTCATGTTACTTTGCCAGTTGAGGAAGGGTAGACAATGCCCTGAATGAGATGCATAAGGTGATAGTCGACCTCTCATTCAAGCAGTCGGTTTGTCTCTGATAAAAGCCACCCGTGGGAGGGAAATAACGCCCCCCGATAAAAAGGCAAGGGCTTGAACACGCTGGCACTCACAACAACATGAAGTGGTTAGAGGAGTCCTACTCGGGCTTGACAGGTGATGAGAGGCTCAATCGAGGAGTGTAACCCGGACCATACACAGATCCAGTACCCAGATCGCATCCCGGGGGAGGCGCTGTTGCCTGTCTGCGGTTGTTGAAGATGAGTTGTGCGAGGAGAAACGTTTACCTCCAACCAGTCAATAGGGGAGACGACGGTTCTGTGTGCGTAGAGCACAAATAATATATATAGTAGCATATCGATGGTGGTGTTGATTGGTGAACTCTCACCCTTCCCAACAAGATGACTGACGGCATTAGCATCGTCGAATGGGAGCATCGCATATAATAGCCACGGTTCGAGGATCTCTGTTTATCTCAGTCAAGTCCGGTGTGTCAGCTCATATCTCTGCCTGAGCGTAGCGTTGGGCGTTGATGTCCTGCTTCGCTCGTTATATAAGGTATCTTTTATGACGTTGGTAGTGATCGGGACATCGAAGTCATCGTATTCAGATTTTGATGACCTCATTATCTTAGCCTGTACAGCGCTATCGTCGTACTTATGACCAGCTCCGTTCAGGCGTAGTACCTTGTCTTTCGAGGTAAACAATACAACTGCCTTGAGGAGAAACAGCAAGCGGTATCCACATTGAGCCGTGTATATATATAGAAGAGAAAGTGTGTACGCTGGGTATCTAAGCTCCACAGGTTGTCTTGCAGGGATCGCAATGCTGCTTGAGAGCTGGATGTTGAGATATTCATCATCATTGCAGCGGATTCAGAAGCATTATAGCCATTGAGGATGCCCCCCCTTCCCTTCTTGTTGGGATGTGGTGGATGAGAAATGGAAAAGGGAACTGAAGGCGATACTCAACCCCTTTTATAGATTCCAGGCGCTTGAATTACATGGGAAAAGCCTTATATATGCAAGGAAGTACCCAGGAGCCTTAAACCCTCGCGATTGATCTTCCTTGGACAGCAATCCTTGATCTACTTGGAATCTTCCTCACTATCCAATGACAAGTCCAATCTACCGCATCCCACATAGTAATCCAGCGGCAAGTCCAACGCAGTACACTGCTCCACCTCATCAAAGGCAGCCTGGTACGGAGGCCACTGCATTCTCCTCAAACTATAGTCTCCCTCTCGCAATGGCCGCCACTCACCACTTTCATCCACAGCCCGGCTGGTATTCGCATAGCCCCTTGCTTTTAACAGCTCTGGATCAGGCGTCGGATCCCCAGTCCGAATGAAACTGGCCCACGAATCTAGTACGTACTGCTCGAACGGCAACTCATACTCATCCCTAAATGGCTGATCCAACCGTCGCAGATTGCCAAAGACATAGTATAGATCCCCAGAATGACACTTCCAGTACTCCAGATTCGGGTCACCGTTTGGATGCTCTGCCGTCGGGGGAGCATAGCATACCCGACCGTTGTATACTTGGCCTTCGAGCTCATAGGACCGGTTGAACTCATAGAAGTATACCTCGGGGAATATGTTGTTGACGACCCCTGCATAACCCGTCGCTTCGTCTATGCATCGAAACATACCGTCAGTTGCCACACGAGCCGATGTGTTAAACACGTCCAATGTGGCATTGGGGCCTGTGGCTAGGGGGAACAAGCCGCTTGCAAGGACAGACGCAGGCAGGTCATTGTCTGTTAAGAAGGTGTCGATACTCTCGCTGGCGTTCGGGTAGTCGATGAATTGCGCGCCGTCATCGCGCATGATACCCATCAAAACGGGCACGTGGGGTGCTTCTGTGGAGCGGCTGAGATCAAGCTCAGGACTGGTCAGATACGTTCCGTCAACGACGAGGTACCGTGCTGTGGTGGACAGATCGGTAATGGCACTGGCGGTATAGTTCCTGAGACAGTCCACAGGAGATGTCGCATTAGTGCAGTTCGTCTCTTCCAGAATAGCATTACCAGCTACATCCATCTCTTCATCAATGGTATAGTATCTAGAGTAAGTGGTGCCATACGCAAGACCCCCGAGGTTGCTTTGCATGATGGCACGGCTGAACTTTCCCTTGGCCTTAGGCGAGGCCAGCAACGCTCGTACGGAGGCTGCTCCAGCAGACTGACCGAAGATGATGATTTGGTCTGGGTCACCTCCAAAGGCTTTGATATTCTGGCGCACCCAATCGAGAGCGGCGATTTGGTCAGCGAGGCCAAAGTTGCCGTTCGTCTTCCCGTCGTTCAGTGCGAGAAAGCCAAGAGTTCCGAGTCGGTAACTAATGCCAACTACCACGACGTCGCCTCTCGAGGCAAGATTTCCTCCGTCATAGTAAGGGTCATCGGGGCTTCCTCCAGTAAAAGCACCTCCATGGATCCAGAATGCTACTGGTCTCAGTTTCTTCTTCTCTGCAGGTTGACGAGGGAGGTAAGGAGTCCAGATGTTCAGAATCAGACAATTCTCTTCATTGCCGTTTGCATCGCGCTGACACACCGATCCATACTTTAGAGCGGATACGTTGCTTCCATTACCTATGTATGGTTCTGGATAGGTCCAGCGTTCCTGTTCTGTAGCAAAGCGGACACCGATGAACCGGAATATAACATGATCGCGATACCTACCCCGTGAGTTAATGTTCAGTGCGTGGGAAAAATACTCTTACCCTGTCAAGTACTCATTATTTGCCTGAACTGTGATCTGATACTGGCTGCTTGTGTTCTGGTACTCTTTCGTGGAATAGGGTGCACTTTGTGTGCAAAGTACAGGGTACTGATGGTTGCTGTCTGCTGTCGATATAGTCCCTTCCAAATCAATCGTCCTGCCAGTGGCGTTGACTGGCGCTATCCAGAAACACTGATTGCTTTTGTAATTACCTTGGTATGAAAGGTATTTAAGATCAGCTTTTATGTCTGCAGGTGTCGACGAAGCAGCCCCCCAGAGCGACTCTCCGAGAGCATTGCAGGCCTCGGTCGCTTCCTTCAGAGGCTTGTTGTCCAGGATGATGACGCTTGAATTAGTCAGTGGACTATCTCCCTCTGTTCACGGGTTAGATAATTTGCTGCTTTGCTATAGAGCTGTTCCTACCTAACAGATCATTGTGCAGCAGAAGAAAGATATCAGACCCAAGAGATTCAGGTCCCACAGCAGCAAGAACTGGAGCAACGAGAAGGGAAAGAAGAAATGCATGCATGTTGATCATACTTGCTCGTCTTGAAGATGTAGACCCCCATTTCCTTCCTCTTATGTGCCAAGCGCCGAGGAAAGTGGGTTTGCTATCCCCGAGGTGACCGTGCTCGAATTCATGTAACTTCTTTGTATTGGTGGACTGGGTTTTCGCGTCTGCTGGACAGACCTTTCCCCGCACCGGGGTATGCAGCTTTACAAGTCTGTCATGCATGACTCGGTCCAACAAACTCCGAATATATGAGAAGCTCGCCTTGCTAGATCTTGTAGCTTCGAGGCTAACCCTTCACGGCGCGCTATATAGAGGAAGGATCCTGTACCCTGTCATGGTCACTCCATCGCACGTCGCCCTGTACCATGGTATAGTAAGCTACGATTTTATTGTCTTAGGCCAAGCTTTTACTTGTAGCTCTGACATACCGTTTTATATCTTAGGTCAAAGACCAATGGTCTGGTGCTACACGAATATCGTTCTTAAGCCAGTTGAATTTAGAATCTATGATGAGGACAATGGGGTCAATTACTGCAACTCATCGGTTCTGTCACAAAGCAAAGGAATTCAAGTGCCCAATGCTAAGCTAGCTTCCTATTATTATGCTACTTCACCGGCTTGTTGGTCATAGGATGTGTACGCATAATTCGTGTTCTGATAGTACAACTCGGCTACCCTGCGTAGATTCGAGAGAACCGGAATTCTTGTAAAGATCAGTCCACGTTCCTATACCTTTCTCTGATATGATCCATGAACGCTTTCTCTATGGCCACTGCTCCATCACACTGTTAGAATATATACTAAATTTTTTGACTTTGCATACTCACACTCTCGTACACTTTGAAGTGTGATTCCCGGGACAAGCTTCCAAACCGCCTTCAGATTCTGGCCGGGAACAGGTTCCAAGAAGTCCACCACAATCACTTGAATAGTCCCCACGAGAGGTTCTGTTCTCTGGACGTTTCTGAATGTAATGTAATCCATATTTCTGATCTGGCCAGCCTTGAACCACTGGAGTTGCAGCTCATCCCCAAAGAACGCTTGGGATATTGTCCTTCCGATGAAATCCCTGAAGAGCAGTGTTTGATTTGGATTGAAGCCGATACTGGTGCAGAATTCCATTATCGAGTTCAGTCTCCTATCAGGAAATCTTGGGATGAGGTTGTTAGGACGTTTTCATCTACTTAGGGATCAAAATACTGCCTACTCACTGAGCGATGAAGTAGCGGGTGTCAGATAGTACAAGATCGTGGTATTGATCCTCGACGATCAGGTCAATTTCAGGCACTGGAGCAGTAATGGTATCAGCCGGGAGTGTTGGTTCCATGATCTTTACGAGATAACAAATCGCTAACGACTGAGATACGAATAGCAGAAGATGTTGCGAGCTATGTCTGTATGTTGTGAGAAATAGGATTTGACTAGAGATGAGAACATTGAGGTAAACGATGGTGAATGTGGGATGTTATCACTGGTGGCCATGTCACTCGATAAATACTAGGCTATGTCTAAAGAAGCCGTCTCGATGTATTATTCCCATCGATGTAAATTGACTATTTGATAATATGACAAGTCACTTAGAAATATACAATAGCACCGATAAGAATGATAAGTTCCTTTACCTGTTTTATATTCACACAAGTGGTTGAATCTCGGGCCTGGCTTGCTACAAATCTCCTTCACTCCACATTGCACAGACAACAATGTGCAATGTTTCTGAGACAGTGGTTTTGAAACATTAGCGTAGCCTGTCAAACATACAAACACTGCTGACACTTGACCAGTCACTGCATGTCCAGACCCTCGATCAGAACCGTGTAAATAAGAATGTCAATCAGCTCGGAAGATTTGTCGCTCTTTGTCGCAAGTGCACGGCTTCACCCGGTCTTAATAGATTTCTGGAAAGAAAGTGAAGGCTTCCATCAGATCTATATAAAATGCCGTCCAGACGTGCTCGTCTGGACTTTTTATCTTCTTGCCAACTCCTCCTGACATTCCTCTCATTACTACGCTTTCCAACTCTCACCATTCGCTACTACACTATCCGTCGCTTGATCCTCCAGCGAACCTACCATCCTCACAAACGATCGCAAAATGTGCTCCTACGCGGTACGAGGTCACATTGGATGCACACATTTGGCCCAGGCTGGGTTCACCCGCTGTGAGGCGGCACGACAAACGGGTAGAGCCTGTCCTCGGAACACTTGGGACTATCAGCTCGGTGATCCTTGGCTTTGGAAAATGTCATGAATGCACGAACGCAAACCTCTGGTCTCGGGTTAGTAGGAGGTTGTAGGCCTAGGCCTATTCATTCCAAGTGGTGTGCTATCAATGCTTCATGGACACCATGCTAACGAAGACTATGGGCTCGGTTTTTAGAAAAGGACTGTTTATCGAAAACTCAAGCATGTTGGATGATATGATGGGATATTCAAGGGTGGGGTTTTTTATGAGATAAAGGAATGACAGGAGTTATAAGTGATGAGGTATCTTGCTGCGTTATCACTTGCTTCAACAAGCCAATGTCATTCGACGTAGTGTATTGTGACTAGTGAAGGGCAGGTATCATCATCTGCCATTAGCTTTGTACAATGTAATGTAGCCGCTCTCTAACAGACCCGGCTGGGCTGGTAGAGATAATAGGATACCCTGTACCCCTTAACTGCTGCAATCCTAATACGTTCATCTGCAGACTTCAGTTTCTTACTTTACTAATCTATTCTCGTCAACTTAGCCATCTTCACTTCCCTACTTATTATTGATTCACTGCAGAGCGCTTAACCTCTTTAGGCAGAGATCACCTTCCGGAGAAACCATCAGCCGCACCACTTCGCTTACCCAAAATAGCAATCCGCCACACCCGATCCAGCTAGCGCAGGCGGTCAACCAGCCACCGCCCCAATATATTGCCCGACTTCCGCATTCGGCGCGTCAACTCTGGTTCAGCTCAGCATCTCACACGATCTCTTTCTCGATCTCATACCTTTTCCACTTCTATTATTGCCCCATTGACCCGTCCACCCACCACCTACGCAATTAACTAGTACGCCTTAACCAAAAACACACTCCAATCCTCCCAATTGATCCACTAACACCCTCACAGCTCACAACCACACAGCTACAGCACAGCTTCACACCACCAAACCCAATCCCTCAGTTCCATCAATCCGCGACAAAATGACCACCCGCCCGCTCAGCCCCCCGACCTCCCCCCGCAAACGCACCAAAGCGATGCACCTCCCGTCGTCGCAACGCATCTGCCACGACTGGATGGTCGTGCAAGGCAACGTGCACTACGCGCGCGACCGCGCCCACTTCACAACCTACCGGCCGGTGACCGCGCACCTCAAGAACAACATTTTCAACCCGATGGACGAGCTCGAAGTGGCCGGCATCGGAACCGTCGAGATCCCCGTCGTCCGCAGCCTCGATAACCCCTTCGATACGCATACCATCGTGCTCGAGAACGTGCTGCATATCCCCGAGGCGGTGTGCAATGGGTTCAATCCCCTGCTGTTTGGGAGTAGTATGTCGTGTACGGAAACGGCGTGGATGGGGGCGGATCGCGAGGGTAGGTTGATGTGGGTGGCGATGCCGTTTCGGGGGGGTTCGAGGTTGGTGCTTGCTGGGGGGTTGGTGGGGGAGAGTGAGATTATTGAGGGAAGGTATTATACGTTGAGTTTGTATGTTAGTCCCGAGGAGAAGGGGGAGTTTGGGGGTTGATTTCTTCTTTTTTTTTTTTTTTTTTTTTTTTTTTTTACCTTTGTGTTTGGGTTGGAGTTTGGGGCCCGGGTGAGTGTATGATAGCTGTATAGCTAGCTAGATGTTTATTGTTATGTGTAATATGAGTCACGATAGACAAGAAAGACAAGAAAGACAAAGAGACAGACAGCACTAAGCAATTGATAGTAAACTGTAATTACACGTGGAAATCTAGCTCGGACCCTGCGTCTAAAAAGGGTCTGGGTCTACTGCTAACAGGCTAGATCGAGCTGACCCGGTCTGTGCGGGTTGGGCTGCAGTGATGCCCGAGGCGAATCGATTCGGTCCTCGTTTCCCACCCAGTTTCCATGTGGCGGGTGGGGAAAATCACTCGCGCGATATAGTGGCCTGATTTGATTCCAGGCTATAGCTATGGGCAGATTCTCGAATGGCCGATTGGCAGATTTGTTGCAGCTCTTCGTATGGGTCATGCGCTGCGGACACCTCGCTTAGGGTTGACTTTAATTTCTCTACCCCGGATCCTCATGCCTGCGGCACGTCGGGCCGTATTCCGTGGTATTTGCGAACACTGACATGAACAGGATCAGAGGGTCATTAAAGTAGGCTGGCTTTAGTTAGATGAGTCAAGTAGGTGGCTCGTAGTGGCTAAAAACTCTATCAAATCAAAGACTCAGACTAGTGGAGTAGTTAGCAGCCTCCCCCGCCAACAATTTGCCCTCCAACCATTCATCATCCACACAGGGCGAAACCTACCCCGGATTCTCTATTCCCGTTTGGATACGGGGCTACACCCTTGCTGCATCAGCCGATCCTATCACATCTCCTCGGCCATATTACCGTTGCATCCGATACATTCTACCTGGCCTCACCGGCGGCCTCGACTGAGTACTAAGTAATTAGTATATATGTGTAGTGAGTTCCCCGTGTTATTCCCACTTTTCATCCCGATCATCACCACCATCACTGTCCTCATTGCTCTCAAAATTGAGTGAGTGGACCATGGCTGAGAAAACCGCCACCAGCGTGTCTCACGTCGACGAAACCGACCACCCTAATGTCGAAATCAAGGGAGGGGTCGGCGACACGGCTCTCGCTGTGGCGACGAGTCTCCAGAAGCCGTCTCTATGGAGCAAGAGCATGCTCAAGGTATACTCTTCCTTTTAGTATTACTCTATCCCCTCCTAATATGGTGTGTCGATAGTTGTATGGCTGCATCGCCGTAGCCATGCTCAACTCCTGCATCAACGGCTACGATGGATCCCTGATGGGTTCCATCAACAGCTACGCCCAATATCGGGACTACTTCGGCTTCGACCCGAACAACGGCACGCCGTCCACGGGTATCGTCTATGCCATCTACACCATCGGAAACATTGTCGGATCGTTCGTAGCTGGTCCAGCTACTGATTTCAAAGGTACTCTCCCCTTCCCACACCCCCACCAACTAAAATCCAAACATACCCAAACTAATACAATAATCCAAAACAATAGGCCGCCGCGTCGGCATGGCCCTCGGCTCCCTCTTCATCATCATCGGCACCATCGTACAAGCAACCTGCCACAACATTGGCGGATTCATGGGCGGACGATTCATCCTCGGTTTCGGCGTCGCCATTTCCGCTACAGCCGGTCCGGCTTACGTCTCGGAGATGGCGCACCCGGCGTACCGTGGTGCCATGACGGGTCTATATAATGTGCTGTGGTTCGGAGGCGGTATCCCAGGGACATTTATCCCGTGGCGCACGAGTCAGATCGAGGGGACGATGAGTTGGCGGATCCCGATCTGGTTGCAGATGGTGTTTTCGGGGTTGGTGTTAATATTTGTGCCTTTTGTTGCGGAGGTATGCCACCCCCCACCACTTTCCCTATACCCCTTGACTAGTACCTTCTCATTGTCTTGAAGTGGGCATGAATGCTAATGTATAATGGGAATGGTAGAGTCCCCGCTGGCTCATCTCACAAGACAAGCACGACGCCGCGCTGCAAGTCCTGGCCGACTACCACGGTGACGGGGACAGGAACGCCCCCATCGTGCAACTCGAGTACCGCGAGATGATCGAGGATATCTCCCAGACTGGGTCTGATAAGCGGTGGTGGGATTATCGCGAGTTGTCCAATACTCGGGAAGTGCGGTATCGGTCTATGTTGGTTATTATCATGGGTACTATATATCCCTCCCCTCCCGTCTTTCCCCGTTCCTTATATCCCACCCATACTAAATTTAAGATAATATAGCATTGTTCGGCCAATGGACCGGCAACGGCCCCGTCAGCTACTACTACCCGCAAATGCTACGCGGAGCGGGCATCACAGACAACAACACGCAGTTGATGCTGCAGGGTGTGCAGAACGTTGTGTCGTTCCTCGGAGCCGTATCGGGAGCACTCATCACCGACAAAATGGGCCGACGCACGCAGCTTCTCGTGTCGACCAGTATCGTGGTGGTTTTATTCGCGATCGTGACAGCCTTGAACGCTACGAACGTGGTTGACGGGCCTGATGGCACGCCTATTGCCAAGAGCGCAGTTGCGGCGCGGGCACAGATCGCCATGATTTATCTCTTCGGATTTGTGTATTCGGCTGGCTGGACGCCGAATCAGGCGATGTATCCCGTGGAGTGTCTGCGGTATGAGAGTCGGGCGAAGGGCATGGGGATGAATAATGTGAGTGGTTATCCTTAGTTCTCCTTATATATTTGTGTGTGTTTGTGGGTCGCTAACATGGGATAGTTCTTCGTCAACATCGCCTCGTTCTATAACACCTTTGTGACTGGTATTGCGTTCACTCAGGCCGGATGGAAATATTACTTCCTGTTTATCTTCTGGGATACGATGGAGGTGATTGTGATCTACTTCCTGTTTGTGGAGACGAGTAAGCGCACGCTGGAGGAGTTGACTGCTATCTTCCAGCAGAAGAATCCGGTCAAGGCGTCGTTGAAGAAGCAGGATCTTACGGAGATCGAGGAGATGAAGTAACTCCTTTCAAGGGATGGATATATATATTCCATCACTTACTAACTTACCATGTGATTGCTCACACTACTCAGTCTCCTCAGTCAACTGCACTTGTTATGTGAATTCAATTGTCATAACCCATCCATATCCATATCCATATCCATAGTGTTTTAATACATCCATTTCCATTTTACCCAGCCCGACATAGGAAATAACCCAACAAAAGAAATAATATAATAAAAATATCAAGTGGTTGAAACAACCGTCTCCCTCCCCCCCTTCCACCCCCCATCATACACCCCATTACTACTATTCCCATCCGTCCCATTCCCATCCCCGTTACTCCTCGCCGCATGACTAACCTCCCACTCGCCCGGCGGAAGCATCATCTGCTCATCACTAATCGTATTCCACTGCGTATCCGGCAACGACAACGGATGCTTGAACTTCCGTCTCTTGTTCTTGCTATTGTCGGTGCCTGAGTGTGCTGCTCCCTCTGATAACGGATAGCTCTGTGAGCTGCCCTTGGTGCCTTTGGTGGACATGTACCAGCCTGCTCGCATCGCCAGCCGCCGGCACATCGGGTAGATCATGGGCGCGTTGCCGATTATTACCGCTACGAAGGTTTCGCGACAGGCCCAGCTGCCGGCTTGGGAGGCACCGTTGGCGCCGGCCTGTTTATCAGGGTGTTAGTGGGTGGTGGTGTTGGATTAAGGGGGTGTTGGTTAGGGATAGGGGACATACAGTAACGATCAACACACAACGCAGAATGCCACATGCCATGACAAAGGTACCGCCGCTGAAGAGGATAAGGAGCTCAAGTTTCTCGCGCCAGGGGAGACGGGCTTTGAAGAGAATCTGTGTAGAAAAACAAATCAGTCTTGGCTGTATATATATATATTTGTCAAGAGTGAGGGAATGACATACAGGGGTCGGAATGGAAATCAAATACACATCCGTAGCAACATTCAACACCACCGTCACGTAAACATCAATATGCGAGACAGCCGGCTGACAATAATTCCCCGGATTGGGGTTGATCTGCCAGTTCTTTTGGATGGGGTGGCATCCGACCAGGATGCTGAGGATAACAGCGATGTAGGTGACTGCGATGAGAACGTAGGCGATGCGGATGCGGATGTGCATGTTGATGAGGCCGGCCCTATTACCATACACTATTAGTATATTGTTGTTGGGCGGGAGGGGGAAGTGCTGACGGGGCGCATACGTCAATCGAGAGTAAAACACAGCCATGCACGACTTGAGCAGCCACAACAACGTGGTATACAGCGACCACCCTAATACCTGGGTCTTGGACCCCCCAACCCGCAAATGGTACTCCTCTGAAGACGGCGAGAGCGCGGCGCGCTCAGCGTCTGTCATGGCATTGTTGGCGAGACCTTTCCACCAAGCGCTGACGCAGTAGGCGGCGCCTGTTTCGAGACCGTATACTACCTGTCACATCATGGCTTATCAGCACGCTTATTCCATTAAGAAGCGTGGGAAAATGGTGGCGGGGAGAGAGGCACATACCCCCGCCAACGGCATCAAATAATCATCGAGCATAAAGTTCTTCCAGCCGGCGGTGAACCATCGTGCAACGATGCGAATGGCGATGGTGACGATGGCAATGGCTAGGAGGGTGAATGCCTCGACAGCGAAGTCATCGCCTGCCATGACTGACAGATGACAGAGAGTGTGAAAGAGAGTGTGGGAATGAGTGGACCTGTGGATCAATTCACAAAAAGACAAGACAAACAGGAGGAAAGAGTCTAAGAGGGTATACTATGTATTAATATATCCCCAATCATCAACAACCCAGCGACTGACTGACTGCCTGCAGTGTCGGCCTGTTCTAAATTTTGGCATTGAAGTTGACAGTCGGCACGCACGGTTCATAATCATCACCCGGCATAACATCCGACCCAAGCGAGTGGTTCCGTGCTCCCTATTTTTTATTTTTTTCTTCTCCCTGCTTGTCGTTCTGTCTCCTGACAGGGGAGAGCCCGAAGTACGATGCAGTAGTTTGGTGGCACTTAAGCAAGATAGGGAGGCGACTGGCCACACACCATGCTAGACTGAAACTACGGGGACCAGGTTCTTTGTATTTCCGAAAGGCCATACTAGACTATACTAAGCATCAGGCCAGCCCAGAAACAAGGCAAGGCAAGGCCAGGCCGTGTGCCGTTGCGCGGGAAGG